ACACTCCAATGAGAGGTGTTGGATATTGCATCCTCACATGAAGCCTCCACGTTTCAAGGATGGACCAAGGAGAGATTCTGCTTTGACTGCAGCACATGAAAATGAAAACTTGGTCAGTCTCACATCCGATGAGTTAAAGGGTCTCAAACATCTCCTTCAATCAATTCATAAAGATACTGGTAACTTTTCTCGTAACTCTTCCATTATACTTGATTCGGGTGCGACCACCCACATGTTTTGTGATGATGTTTTGTTTTCCCATATCACCCCGAGCCATGGTGTCGTTACCATCGCAAACGGTAAGACTGTACCAATCAAGGGGATTGGTAAGATCAAAATATTTGACCGAGAAATCTCGGCCTTATATGTTCCCGAATTCCATGCAAATCTTTTATCCATCTCGAAACTTATTGAAGAAATATCGTGTCGTGTTGTTTTCGATACTAATGGTGTTTTATTTCAGGATATTGAATCGGATCGTGTCTTTGGAAAAGGATCACGGACGGACAATCTTTATTATCTAGAAGACTTGCATTTTAGCTTTCTTTCGGTTTCTCCTAGTGTGTGGCATGCTCGGTTAGGACATCCACACACTAAGGTCTTTCACTTGCTTGTTCCCGACGTTAAGACTTTTGATACTCATTGTGAGGCTTGTACGTTAGGGAAACATTGTCGTTCGGTTTTTACGGATTCTACTACTATTTATCATAATGTGTTTGACCTTGTTCATTCGGATGTTTGGACTGCGCCGTGTTTATCTCGTGATCATTTCAAATATTTTGTGACATTTATTGACGAGAAATCCAAGTACACTTGGATTACTCCTTTGAAAAGCAAACGTGATGTTTTCTATGCTACAAAGAATTTTTTCGCATATATTGCTAATCAATTTAATGTCAAGGTCAAGTGCTTACGAACGGATGGTGGAGGCGAGTACATGAGCTTTCAATTTCGAGATTATCTACTTCATGAAGGAATTGTTCACCAACGCTCTTGCCCTCATACACCACAACAAAACGGTGTTGCCGAACGTAAAAATCGTCACTTGATGGAAGTGGCCCGTACTCTTCTCTTCCACCGCAACATCCCAAAGACATTTTGGTGTGATGCCGTGAAGCTCGCTTGCTACCTTATTAATCGTCTACCAACACAAATACTCAAGGATAAATCTCCATTCGAGGTACTCTTCAATCGTCGTGACTCTCTCGATCATTTACGTGTTTTTGGGTGTGTATGCTTTGCCCATATAGATGCAGGCCAAAGAACGAAGCTTGATCCAAAGAGCATTCGTTGCGTCTTCCTCGGCTATCCGGCGAATCAAAAGGGTTATCTATGTTTCCATCCCCCGACGAATCGTGTCTATACCTCCAGACATGTTATATTTGTAGAAGAGCTTAGTTACTTCGACAAGCAAAACTGGAAAGAGATCGAGCAACTTGTCACACAAGGAACCGACGAGAATGATACTCTCGGGCGATTACTCAACACACTAAACAATCTTGGAGCTCACATATCTTCCTCTATTTCTTCGGAGGATCTTCACGCGGATGGTATTCCTTCTCTCCAACCTGTTTCTCTTGATAAATACTTCGATACTAACATTGCAGGTGCAGAAGACAATCTCCAATCACCACCCTCTAATTCACACGTTTCTTCATCTGAGGGAGAAGCCATATCAAACCATCATGCAACACCTGTCACACCTCAGATAGAACTAAGCATGCAGATTCCTTCGCATGTGGAATCTGATTTTGACCAACACGTGCAAATTCCTTTGAATGTGCATGGCCCTTCTCTCAATCACTCAATGACAAAGACCCACCAACTCCGACGATACAACTTCTGTCCGAGGATATCATCGACGCGGCTGCTCCCGACGCACTCGTTCCTCTCGTTCATCCACAACTTCGCCGAAGTGAGAGGGTCCGACGACCAACCTGGAAAGTTGCAGACAACCAATCTAGTGGGCATTTGGCCATCACTACCGTAGCTCACCCCATTGCTATGTACTCTTCTCTTGACTCTTTTCCTACTAATGAGCAAAATTTTTTAAGCGTTGTTGAGCAGGGGGTGGAGCCGACTTCGTATTCACAAGCTAAAAATATTGACGTGTGGCGCAAGGCAATGAGCGAAGAGCTCGCGGCTCTCGAAAAAAATGGAACTTGGGAAATCACCAACTTACCCCCAGGAAAACAAGCTGTGGGTTGTAAGTGGGTGTATAAAATCAAGTATTTAAGCAACGGTACCATCGAACGTCATAAAGCCCGACTCGTCGCAAAAGGCTATACTCAAACGTATGGAGAGGATTACACCGAAACTTTTGCTCCAGTTGCCAAGCTACCTACGGTACGCGTTGTTCTCTCTTTAGCCGTTAACCTTGATTGGCAGCTTTGGCAAATGGATGTGAAGAACGCCTTCTTACAAGGCGAGCTCGATGAAGAAATCTTCATGAAGCCTCCGCCGGGATATACGGGACCCTTCCGATCGGGACAGGTTTGTCGGCTTAAGAAAGCCATTTATGGTCTCAAACAATCGCCTCGCGCATGGTATCATCGCTTGTATCAAGCTCTTCTCGTCAAAGGATTTGCAAGAAGCGACTCTGACCACTCTCTCTTCACACTTAAACGATCTACGGGTATTGTCGTTCTTTTAGTTTATGTTGATGATATAATTCTTTCAGGCAATGACATCGATGGTATTCATGATACCAAGACATATTTGAGCAATGTCTTTGATATCAAGGATCTTGGCATGCTCAAATACTTTCTTGGTATTGAAGTTACTCGTACCTCTAACGGTTTATTCTTGTCTCAGCGAAAGTACATCTTAGACATGCTAAACGAGACAGGCAAACTTGGAGCAAAACCAGTCCGAACGCCAATTGAGGAACACTTCAAGGATCAACGCGAGGGGGAAGCATTCGATGATCCAGAACGATACCGTCGTGTCGTCGGTAAGTTGATTTATCTTACCATTACACGCCCTGATATTAGTTTTGCGGTGCATCAGGTTAGTCAATGGATGCACTCCCCAAAGACGAATCATTGGAACATGGTGGATCGTATCCTCAAATATCTCAAAGGAACTCCAAACAATGGCATTCACATGGACAACAACAAACACACCGCGATTGTAGCCTATTGTGATGCCGATTGGGCCGGAGATAGGACAGATCGAAAATCAACAACAGGCTACTGCACCTTCGTCGGAGGGAATCTGGTCACGTGGAGGAGCAAGAAACAAAATGTCGTGGCACGCTCTAGTGCGGAAGCTGAATATCGGGCAATGGCGAACACGACGAGCGAGGTGGTTTGGCTACGCCAACTCCTCATCGACCTCGGGATTACGACAAAGACGCCCACACCTTTACATTGTGACAATCAAGCGGCGATCCACATAGCAAACAACTCGGTTTTCCATGAGCGAACGAAGCATATTGAAGTAGACTGTCATTTCATCCGGGAAAAGATCACACAAGGTTTAATCACACCAATTTTCACACGGAGTCATGATCAGTTAGCCGACATCCTCACCAAAGCAACTAGCTCGTTCGTCCTCAACACATGCCTTGTCAAGATTGGCCTTGTTGAATTTGGTCGGCCAATCTTGAGGGGGATGTTAATAGACAAGGAGAGCAAGAAGACTTGAAGATCAATGGTGAACACGACGGACATCTTTCGAAGGAGACAACTCATGAAGAACAAACTTGGGAGACAAGCAACCCAAGTTTCCTTCAAAAAAAGAAAGAAGACAATTGTGGATGCGTATAACTCGAAGAAAGGAAAGAATCCCTTAAACTTTTCTGTATTGAATTTGATAATATCTTGTTGCCATAATGTATTTTCTGTATAGCCGTTTTCTCCATCATTACATATACTTAGGTTAAAAGCATGTAAACATTAAGAGTGAATAAAAAATAACCAGAGTACTTTCTTCTTAATTTCTCTCACTTCTTCGACTGGTTTTAGGACCGAGTTCGCATCTCGACCTCTTACAAATCGTGTTTTCTTCAGTGAGATCATTCCTCATCACCCAACAACTCACTATTTCATTCCGGTTAAATTATAACCGAGTTTAATTTTTTTAAACCGATTTAATTGAACCGGATGATGTGTCTGTTGACGTGGAATCAATCTTCTTATTTTTCTTATGTGGCAAATCAAGTCCGTATATTGATGTCATGTTGGCATCGAAAATTCCTTTGTCGTGGAAATTTCAATTTAATTTGTGATTTTGTGTGGATAATTAGAAAAAATTGAAATCAAATGTGATTTATTGATTACACATTTGAATAAATTGGTGTGGGTTTATTCCCCAAGTTTTAACGGCAAGGCGCGAAAATAAGGCCCATAAGCCCATGTAAGGGCCCATTATATATGCATACTGGGCGTTCTTAATTTCTTCGGCGCAGATATACATAGCTGCAGATATACGGAGAGAGACTGTGTTGATGTAGAATGTGAAGATGCCGTCGGGGAAGTATTATTGCGATTACTGCGACAAGGAGTTTCAGGATACTCTTGTCGCCAGGAAACGCCACTTGCAGAGCAAGCCTCATCTCCGCGCCAAATCCCTCTGGTTCTCTTCTCTCTCCGGTCTCTCTCTCTCTCTCTCTCTCTCTCTCTCTCGCGGCTTCTGTTCTCACGGATTGATTTTAACCCTATGATTACGCGTTACAGATCCTAATCCCCGAGGTCCCCACACTCTCCCCAGAGGATTCTGCGATCGGTTCGTTTCCTGGGTACGTTCCAGATTTGTTTTTGTCTGCTGCAAATCCGCGACTTTCAGTTTTAATACGAGCTCGTTCCTTGCTTTCGCAGCATTCTTTAGAAAGATCTCAGTCTCGTAGACGCAAAGTCTGTCCCTTTATTTCTATGTTTGTATTTCCTTCACGGACATTTTCTCATAACGGAGCGTCGATCACATCATATATATATATTCGCCTTCCTCCTTTTTGCTGCTACATATCTGTTGTTGATCATCTCTGTTATCTTCTGATGTAAAGTCTGCTCCTTTCTCTGTTTTAAGATCCGTTCTTTCAAACCGCGTTATGGGTTTTGTAGGGTTTTTGTGGATTTGGGGATTCTTGCAAGTACTTGCACCCGAAGCACATTCCAGCAGGTGGTTAAAACCCAGTTTCATCCCATGCTCCTCTACATGCACCCGCCCACGTGTTTTGGTTCGTATCTGTTGAAATATCATCCTTTCCATCAGTTGCAGGATTCACCGGTTCACAGACGCAGATTGGGCTGAATATTCAACGGACACCAGGAAGTATGTCTTCATTTCATCGCGTATTTTAGTCCAGATCGTTTTTGTCAATCTGTAAACAGGTTTTGGTAGGTAGGCAGGTAGGATTAACTTGTACAGTTGTCTCTTGTCCGGTCAGATGATAAGAAACAGACGAGGCTCTGTTAAAGTAGCTACTGATGTAAGAAAACAGATCAGATGTCAGTTATTTCTTCGTCTTTGTTTGAACAGGTGAATACATTAGCGGACTATCGACAACGGGATGGGGAGACCTTCCACCGTCGTTGCAGCCTGCTCCTGAGTCGGGATATCCTCGGCTTCCCTCCGTGGACTGGGGTTGAATAAAGACCCTCGCTTGCTCTTCTTCCCTTTCATCACATCTCTTTCTGCAGTCTCTGTAAAGATCCAAATATAGAATTGCATTTACGGTGATCTGTAGCAAGAATTAGGGGATGGGTGTATGAATATCCGAAAATCGGGTATCCGTGGTTACCGGGTTGATGGCAGCCCGGGACAGTGTAATTTTTATGAATCTTTGACAATTTGTATCGGATTTCAATACAAACCTGATTTTTCGGGTAGGAAAACAGCGTGTGGATATCTCGTGTTTACAGATTCATCATCACTTTCATTGTCAGATGAAACCAAACCGAAGAAATTAAAAAAAAAAAAAAGTAGTAAAACTAATTCACACAGAGGATTAAACATAGAGATTAAGTGAAGAACCTAAATCAGCACTCTAAGAGATAATCTTTGCAAGTGGACTTGTTGTGGCCAAGTCCCTTGCACCTACTACACTGCAGCTGCCTCTTCATCACCTCCTGCTCCGCCTTCTTCGTCGCCGGCCGTCCCGGCGGCCGCTTCATTGGAGGTGGCGTCACCGTCACCACAGATCCGCCCCCTGAGCTGTCCCTCGGGATCTCTAGGTCTAACGACTGGACCGGGTTTATCGACTGCGAATACGTAAGCCTGTAGTTCTCGACGGTGAAGTATCGGGAGCAGAAATCGTAAGGGCTGCGACGGATGCAGGCGATGACAGCAAGCGCATGAGCACACGGTACTCCGCTCATCTGCCACATTTTGCAGCTGCATTCCCATCGGTCCATGTTCACGAGCTCATACGTTTCGCCTCGGACATGAAACGCGTTGTCGGCCGATAACACCACCTGAAGCGTCTGAGCCTTCACGTTCTCTTTCTCGAGCTTCTCCTCCATGGACTGCGTCAGTCTTCCGACTGCCGAGTCCGCGTTTATTCTCCTCACCTGGATCAGATCCATGATTTTGCCCCGGATCACATCTACCATCTGCGTTATCGGAGCGTCGTTCGCATCCGATGCCCAGCTGAAGAACGGCTCGCCTGAGTTTGATGTCATGTGGTTGTACCTCGACCCCAGGAAATATGCGTTTGCCCAATGTTCGGGCTGGCTGTTCCGCAATATCCAGTCGTAGGCTTCAGGCGAGATACCTTTGATGTTTTCCACGTGTCTCTGGAACTCGTCGGGTCTGGGAGCGTAAGCCGCAGCGTAAAAATCCTCGACGATCAATCGCTTTACCTCATGAGAAAACGGCTCTTTCAAGTCTCGGATGAGCTCGTCGGTCAAGTGACGCAGGCAATACCCGTGGAACGATGCCTCGAAAACATCAGGGATCGATTCACGTAGACCCTTCTGTCTATCCGCCACGAACGTAATCGGACACGACCCAGAAAGCGCAGATTTCAGCTGAAGCAAGAACCAGCGCCAGTTATCATCCGTCTCCGAATCCACAACCCCGAATGCGAGCGGAAACACTTCGTCGTCGCCGTCAGCGGAAGTTGCAGTCAACAAGGTCCCCAGATACTTCGATTTCAGCGGTGAACTTTCGAGAAACACTAGAGGCCGACACCCTTGAAGAAAACCGTAGATCGAGGCGTGAAACGAGACAAAGAGGCGGTGAAAACTCGAATCTTCCTTCGTCGTGAATGTAGCAAGGCTGCCTGGATTCGTTTCCATGATCTTCTCGCAGAACATCGGCAGTTGTTTGTAACCGTCTTTGTAAGAACCCTGGAGCTGTTCTTTGGCAATTTCTTTCCCGCGCCACGCCTGAAAGTAATTTAGTTGGATTCCGTACTCTTGTTTGATGTCGTTGACGATATCTTTCGGCCTGTAATTCGGGAAAACCTTCAGCTTCTCCTTAATAATGCTCGCTACCCAACTCCGACTCGCCTGAAGCCCGTTAGTCCCACCCGAGCCTTCGCACGTATGCGAAGGATTCATTTTCTTGATACATATAAGCTGAGTCGTTGATAGCCGCGATGCGTGGATCCTCCATGGGCAGCCCTCGGCTTTGCATTTGACCGTCACTCGGTGGCTATCGTTCTTTTTGTAGCGAAACGCAAACAGATTGGCGATGGCGTACTTCCGAAGCGCTTCCCGGAATTCCGTGACGCTGTTGAATCTCTGTCCCACCCCTGTGATTGTGTTCTGCCACTGCTGTGCCGCTTTGGCCACGAGCTTTTCGCCTTTCGGACTTGGGACAGGATTAACCGATAGCATATCAGGAGGTATATCCATCGGGACATCTGCATCTCGGCTCGTGACTAGCTCCATCCCGACATCCGAGATGGGAAGGTCCAGTCCCAGTACTGGTTCCGCCGTGACATCCATGATGTCCGGAGGAGGAACGGCTTCAGACAGCGTTGTTCTGCTCGATCTTGAACAAAGAAGAGACAAAGATTTACTTACCGGACTGTCCCATAAATGCCAAAAAACCGGAAAAAAAAAAAAACTGACAAAAAACGGGGGATTCAGGTTTCGAGGAAATCGGGACAAGATTACCTGCTACCTGGCATGTTTGAAACATCAGGAACAGCTTCATCTGTTATGATATAAACATCAGCAGTATCCGAATTCCCGTGGAACTTGATCATCCGCTGTAAATCTTTGTCGTTTGAGATCGAGATCAGCGTCTTCTTGTTACCCGGGAGGAAGTACTTCAAAGACACTGTCCCGACATGGCAGTTGAACATCTCTGTAATTTCCGACACAAAGTCTTTGAACCTCATCTGGTCATCCACATCAATGGCATGAGCATCTCCACCCTTGTAAGACAGAGAACCGCCCTTCTCCGTCTGAAATTCCCCGCCCGACATACATATCGCTATGATCCGTTTCCCCGCCATTTCCTGCATTACACAAAAAAAAAAAAACATGATCCAATGCTTTTAGATCTCTTGTATCAATCTCGTAGCTATGTCTGTTGCATGTGATGATCATAACAGAAAACTCTATTCTCCGAGTGAATCGATGGCAAAGAGTAAGAACGTAGAATTTTCTGACAGAGTGAAAGGCACAGTTGAAACACGAGGATACAACCAAACAATCGAAACCCTAAATTCGACGAAACGCCAATTGAATCCGAGAAGTTGAACAAGGCACTCAGAGCACATAATCGCAATCGAATGGCCAAAAAGGGGAAGACAACCAAATGACGATAACGGCGCAAATCAAAAGAAAGCTTTCAACTTTGTCGTCCCATCCTCATTCCGAAAACCCTAGCAATCGTAAATTCCACAAATTTAGGGATTCCTTCTCATCGAGTCCAAATCGTACCCACCAACTAACCCCAAAGCTACATTAGCTTTATCCACAACCGAGAATTATCTGATTCCATCGAATAGCCCAGAAAGATTCATATGATCTACCGGAAAATCGTAACTTGGAGGCATATTACGCAGCAAGAACCCTAAAAACAAGAAATTAATGATCAAAAGAGAGAAAGATGGGGAATTTACCACGGAATTACAGATTACGAACAAACCCTAATCCCCAATTGAGAATTCCTTGTCAGGTTCTGGGAAGGGACCGGCGCAGGAGCCAAGAGCCGTCATAGGCAAAACAACATGCACCCTGCAGTCGAGAAGGAAAATACAGGAATTTGTTTCCCTTTAATTAAATTAAATTTGTTTAATTTGAATTTTTTTTTTGTTGGTAAATGAAATCGAAACCGAAAGAAATATAAAATTATAGGTTTCCCGCTTGTAGCCTTGTACGAAGGGAAAAAAATACGGGAATTTGCTGCGAATACGAGAGGAAGAACAACACGGGAGTGGATCTTCCAATGTCGGGAGATAAGACAGAAATCACATCAATGCCACGTCAGATTCAACGTGTAGCTGAGTTGGATCCGATCGTGGGTCCCACAAGTGGCAGGTAGCTCGCGGCATTCGAGTTCGGACAATAAACTGACTCTGAATAAAGACTTTCTCAAATAAACGATTCAATATGTTGTAAGATCATCACACAAAAATTTCCAGACACAATGCTATTAAAGAGCTTCAGTCATGAAACAGGAACAGAAAAGCAGAGACCAGAACTACAAAGAGTTACAAGGATATTGTACAGTGTCCCCTCCCTCGCAATAAACGAAGTCAATCTTCATCACTGTCATTCCCAAACGCCGAAGCAACAGCTACCTTCGGCTTCCTCTTCGTCACACTCCCAGATTGGTTCTGTAAGATGAACAAAAGAACAGGTCAACAAGTTTAGCTCATAATCAGTGAAACTAATCACTAAGACAATATTCAATGGTGTTTCCATGTCTTTATATTTACCTTAGAGACGCTGCCTTTAGAAGAAAATCCAAACTTCAACGTTTTTCGCTGATCATGATCAGTGACTGCAGTTACCGGTTTAGGTGGGGCAGAAGCTGGGGCATTCCCCGAGTCTTCTAGCTGCTGCTGCTGCATCTGCTGCTGTTTCCGAGCATCAGCCCTAGACAGATAGAGATATCCACTTGTCAAATCCGCACTACATAATTACAGACATTAACGAACAGAAACGATCAACTGTTTTGAGTACATTTTAGCCATCTCCCTCTCCAAACGCTGCTGCTCTCGCTTCTGCCTGTCATCACGGCTGCTTGTACCATGCATCTCTCTCATTTCTTTGAAACGCTGAAAAAACACCAACATGGGTGTTTTTTTTTTAACAATTACACGGAAACCATGACAAGGAAGGAATCGAGGAATATTGAAGAAGCCCATTTTACCTTCTTATGGTTGTGATCGTATGAGCTCAAGTGACCTTCAAACTCCATCACAGATTTGTACTGCTTGTTGCAGAGTTCACAGTAGAAGACCTTTCGAATTTCCTTTACTTCACTCTGAATCTTCTGCTCACGTTCTGCTAAGACCTGGATTGTCATAACGGGCACGAAGCGGGCAGTAGCAGCCACCAGGTAATAAAAACTGTGGTGTTGTGTTCCCCTTATGATATACCATTCCCGTCAAAAGACACACACATATACTCTATATGCTGCCTTCTGCTCTTTTGTTTCAGATTTCAGGAAAAAGTAAACGCATCAATCTGAATACGTCCCCAAACGACTGCACGCTGTCGCTTTTATTGGAGTTACAAGTTTGAGTGCGTACCTCCCGTTTCCTTGCAATTTCCTCTGTCTCCTCAACTTCGATATCGAGTTTCCTCCGCTGGATATTCTCTTCTGCAGTGAAATAATCATCTTCTTCTTGTTTCCCTAGACCAAGTTTCGGATCCCTCATACCAGATTTTATGGGCTCTGTTATGCCTGCGTAAAAGCCAGAAATCAACGGGAGATATCAATTTGACCGATCGATGGCAATCCCAAAAAAACACCAATTGCCAGTGTTTTACGGTTACACACCTTGCTCGTCCTTTCCCAGACCTTTTCCTTTCCAACCCATTTTCTGAAGAAGCTGAAACCCGATATTAGATGAAGAGATCTTTGTGTCTAGTGATGCTTGCTCAACATTCTCCAGGTCTACATTTTCAGTTGGTCGGTGGTTAATTGGCAGACGGAACTCCTCTGCCATCTCCTCAATAAAAGACTCCTGATTCGTCTACATAAAGACACACAGAGTGCATCAATGACGTACTGAGGAATTTAAGTTCCGTACAAACCTGAGTTCAAGGCACTGCTTAGTAGCGTGAAGGGTGTTCTTGGTAAGAAGTATATAACAGAATGACCAAAGCACAGACCGAAGCCAAAGCACAAACACAAAGCTCTTTGCAACAAGATCAACAATGCATATTAACTTGGCAAAACACAGTAGAAGCGTAGTGAACTAACCTGAAACTTCTCGTAATGTCGTTTCTCTCTGTTGCTTGCTTCTGTCTTATTTTCGCGCCATCTAACATCCATTCTGATATGTCAGCCTATCTTGGCGTCCACAAAAACCCAGAAAACATTATATCGATTATGAAAATCATTTCAACAGGATCATCTCCAAACACATAGCAGAAAGAATACAAGTTCTTCTGGTAATCCAAGAAGCAGAGATAACCAAAACCTCAACAAAAAGAAGATTTCTCACGGAAATTAAAGTGATTTAGCTTCAAATGCATTTGTCAATGGGCAATTCACAAGCTGCATGAATCTCACAAGCCAGACCAAATATCGACGATTTCTCTCAAATCAAGCAGAATCAGTAACCAGCTGAGACGATACGGGAGTTCGAACCAGAGAAAACCGGCGTAAGCATCAATACGCAGGTATGAATCTCGTTCCCAAATAACCCTAAGTTCACCAAACTGGGGCGAGATAACGAAAATTGAAGCCGACCCAAATACAAGAACACAGGAAAGATTACGATCCAGAGCTTCAAACTCACCGGAGGGTAGGAAAAGGAGAAATTGCTAGGAGTTCTTCTCTTCTCCGAGGCGTCGGGGGAAAAAAAATCTTAGTTGCTGCAATTCCTTCTTTCTGCTTCCGCAAGAGACAGAACCTCGGCTGATCAAATCAACGCATCGAACGCAAAATATTAGGCCCATATATTCCGAAGCCCAGTATAAAAACATGCATGTCGTCTATTCTTTACAAATACGAACTGCACGTCGTTTCTTTGTTGACAACATGCTTGCCGATTGCATTGATTTAGGCGAGACAGTGTGCCGTTTTCTAGGGGAAAAAATGAATGAGTGAATCATATTATAATCATGTGAATCATCACTCTTAACCGTATATTTATCAATATTTGATCACATTGGTTAGGTCTGATTAGAGGTTTAGAATGTCTATAGAGACATTGTCTAGGTCTGATCAGATTAGAATCTGATTGTAGACTTAGGTATTATCTAGTTTAGAACTAGATAGGACTCCTAAGTACCAGTTTTGAGTCATAGAGTCCGGTACATTGACCGGTTAGGTCTGATTAGGTGGGATTTGACTAAAACGAGTTAGTTTAGGGGTTGGTTAAGTCTAGAATCACTAGGTATAGGTCTGTAGGGGTCGGTTTAGATCAGGGCAGGTCTATAGGGATTGATTTTAGGCGTTTATCGGATCTGATCAGAAGTAAATTAGGTCATATTAGGCTTATTTTAGGTCTGATTAGGTTGCTAAAAGTCTAATCAGGGGTTGGTAAGTCAATAGGGGTTGGCTTAGGTTTGATGATTATGACTTTTAGGTGATTGACTAGGACTTAGGGTCATCTAATCAGGGGTTGGTCGACTAGGGTTGGCTTAGGTCTGATTAGGGTCGTGTGGTGGTCTAGTCGGGACTTTTGGTCATCTAACTAGGGTTGTTACGGTCTAGGTATCACTTGGGTAGGTCTGATTAGGACTTTGTGAGGGACCGGGTAGACTCGGGATCGTAGGACTGGTTAGGACTTTGTTGGGGGCCATGTAGACTCGGTGTTGTAGGTCTGATTAGACGTAATCAGGTCTGTGTAGCCTTAAGTTAGGTCTGGTTAGACGTAATCAGGTCTTAAGGTAGGCTGTGTTTCGAGTCTAATAGGTCGGTTAGGCAAAATTATGCCTAGGGTAAGTCCAATCAGGTTTGTGCGAGAGTCTAGGAGGTCGGTTAGGTAGAAATATACCTTGTGTTAAGTCCAATCAGATCTGGTCTAGAGTGTGTTAGATCCGTTTAGGTAAGATGTACCTAGGGAGATGTCCGGTTAGATTTGGTTTAAAATCCGTTAGATCGGTTTAGATCGAGTACCTAGGGTTAAGTCCAGTTAGGTCGTGTTCTCTAGGTCTTGTAGGTCTGATTAGGTAGACACGTACCTAGGTTTAGGACCGATAGACTTAGGGTTAGAGCGTGTTTAAGCACGGCTAGGTAGAAACATACCTAGGGTTAAGTCCTCTAGGGTTCGGTCTCATCCCTCGTGTCACGTTACATCACTTCTAGGGTCGGGTAAGTCACTTCCGGGTTGAGTCGGTTTTAGACTCAGGTTTTATCGTCTTAGGATGATGGAGTTAGATTGTCTAGCTCGGTATACCCCGAAAGGGGTATGGTGGAAGGACTAGGGGTCTCGGGCAAACCCGAGAAATCGGGTGTGCAGGAGTAGGCCAAGGACCAGGTGGAGTGAGTGGTTCCGCGGGTAGGTAGGGATACTACATGGAGGATTTGTAGATCCCGGATGACGAGGTAGGGAGAGTCCGAGGTAGAAGGATGTGTTTACCTCGGAGGAGTAACCGAAGATGCTTCGGTTCTCGGTGGTAGGTCAGGAGGTGAGGACTCCACATCTAGGTGGAGCTTCCTCGGGTAGGATGCTCAGGAGATGGTGTGAGCAGGGAGGTGTCGGGTTTTCACCGGGTAGAGACGGTGTAGGTTGGAGCGCTAGGACACTCCCTCTCGAGGGGGAGCACGTGCACTCACGTGTCTCTTATTCTCGGTGGAACATTCTTAGAGGACTAGGAAAGTCTTCACGGGACAAAACCGTGGGACAATTCTAGTTGGCAGGTTAGGGTCCGAGGGTAGAAGTCGTATACCTATAAATAGTATAGACTTCACGAGGATCCGGGCTAGGTATCTAGCGGTTTCGGTGGTATGACTCAGGTTAGTCTCGGGGAAAGTCGGGATAGACTTAGGAGACGGGTAGACGTCGGGTATAATCCTCGGGTTAGCTAGCGGGTATAGTCTTGGACTTTACTAGGAGGATTAGTTAGACGGTCTAGAGAGTCATACAACCGAGGGTAGCGTTCGCCGGTTGGGCGATGCGGGATAGGACTACGGTTCGAGTCTTATCGGGGTGAACGTCCTAACATGTTTATCGAGTGTTTCAGGTTTGGATGAGCAGGATCGGTGGCGGGATAAGGCGACGAGGCCACGAGGAGTCATCGACGGAGAGCTTCATCAGATTTAGGACGACATGCGACTAATTCCGGGACAGGTAAGTCAGGTAAGTTTGCTTTAAATTCCGACGAAAGTCGAGGGATCGACGAAAGTCGATCGGTGCTGGAAACGGCGAATCCCACTAGGTCTATTACTTTGTTTTCGGTTTCTCTTTCCCACCAAGGTGGAGATTGTTGGGCTTGGCCCATGTCTTTGGTGAAGAAAGAGAAGACTCCGCTTCAAAGGGAGACTTTAGTCTCGCATGAAACCAAGCGGGATTTTTAATCCCAAACCAAAACGGTGAGTTTTGGGAAATAGGGTTAAATGAACCCTGATGCTATGCTTTAGTCTTCGACACATTTTTTTGGGCGTGTGGCTCGAGGAGAGTGAGCGAGAGGGGAGAACGGAGAAGACGAAGGAAGATCCCCGAGGCGGAGGTGCTTCCCGGCGACGGCGAAGCCCAGACCGGCGACGACTCGTCGAAGGCGAGGGAGGTAAGCGTCGGTAAAAGTCTCGTGTCCCTTCTCTTGTTGTTTCTCGGTGAGCCTCCGATCTTGGTGTGGAGGGCCACAGTGTCTCTTGTTCTCCGGTTGTTCCCGTTCCGATTCTAGTGGATTCGCCGGCACCGTCCGGCCGAGATGTAGGCCCGAGGTAACTCGGTAACCGAATTCGTTAAAAGTCTCCGGTGTCTTTCGTTTCTTGCACGGACGTGAGTCGGAGAGAAGTGGTGAGGACTCGATACACACTTCACAGTCTATGATTGGTTATTTTTTAGTTTTTAAAATCCAAAAACTCTAAAAACCGGCAAAATATCCAAAACACCATGTTTTGCTAAAACTATTTATAGATATAATTTTCTCTCTAAATATGACCATATGATCACAAAGATAATATGATCATATGGTGATCACATTAATTATGACGTTAAATTTATGATAATTTTATCAAGTGATTAATACGTGTGTCTATGGTGATTTGGTGTGATCACTATAAATTTAATTTTATAATCAATGTGATCATCATGTGACCATATAATTATTTTGATCATATAATCACACTTGAACAAATATATGTTCCCCTTAAAAAAACCCAACCATTCATAACTCAATATGAGATAAAATCATAAAAAAGTGGGTTAACAAATTTAATTCCGGAAAATAACAATACGATGTTAACGACTCCTAACTATATAACTTGTAAAACAAACGAAGTTAGTTTCTCCATTGTTCTTCTTTTCTTTCTGTGTTCAAAGGTTTTATACTAGATGTGGATATTAAAAAACCGAATGAAATCAATATTTAAGCATATTCAAATTAATCCATATTGCAGATAATAATTAAGGTTAATGATATTTTTCCCATATAGTTTTCTTTTTGGATAAGATTTTCTCATATAGTTTACAAGACATGATATAGCTCATTAACGTCACATTAATAATAAAAAAGAAAAGAAAAAGAAACTGGCAAATATGTATATGTGCGTGAAAATATGCATGCATGTGTCAGTGATATATCATATTCGTACCTAATAATAATAATAATAATAATTTATAATAATAACAATAATAATAAATTGGAAAATGTTTTTTATCTCAGAAACTCGTGGACATTCTAAGTATGAATGCTTTTAATATCTGATCTCATTATAAGGTCGGTCTAATCATTGTTCCGGAAATATGTATCATATGGTTCATGAAAATGGTTTGAAATAATTCATGGCTTTTAACTTTAACCACGCCATTGTGGATTTGTCTTTGTTCTTTTGATTGTGATTAATAGAAATCTTTTTAATTAACCGTTAATGCATGGATTCTGCATCACTTTTTTTTTTTCTTGCAAAAACTCATCTAAATCATAGTTTTATTTCAATTAAAATTCGTAATAACTTATAAAAATACAATCCAAATAAGAAAAAATATATAAAGTAACGGACCCGCACAAAAATTTAACCGGATCACATAATACATATATAATAAAAAAACTAATAAAAAGACTTTATTGGAATATGTAAGTGGGAACCATACTGCATATAATATCCATTTATTAAAAAAAATAGTTAAATCAATTAAAAATTCTTTTTTTTTCTTCTAATATTACTAGGGGCCTGTGACTTCGCTCTATAACGAGTGGGTCCGTCCATTGCTATATAAATGGTTCGTATATTTTAATTATAAACTATTTTAGCATAATTTTTGGTTGTTTAATTGATACAATTAATACTTATAGCCATGCTTAGCTATCGTAATTGATACAATTTACTCCATCCATTTCAAAATATTTGTTGTTTTAGGTTATTTCACATTTTTTTAAAAAAGAAAGAAAAAATCACATATACTCTTATTTCATTATAAAAACAATGTTATCATTAATAATTTATTGGAATTTAATAGAGATAAAATTAGAAACTATTGTAAGAAAATATTTTGAAAATTTAGAATGATAAATATTTTAAAACATAAAAAAAATAACCTAAAACTATAAATATTTTAGAATAGAGGGGGAGTAATACATATGAATGTCAAGTCTTTTTCTCACCACGAAGGAAAAAGAAGAAAGAAAATGAAAACAAAGATGACACGCAAACTCATAGTACTTTCAACGAATCTATAACTATCCTTTTTATTTTATTTTATTTTATTGCGATTTAAATTAATCGGATATTATTCGTTGGGCAGTTGTCAATTTAATATTTATTTAATTTTAAAAAAATCTGAAAAAAAAGCTTTAAATCTGAACCATACAAGCAAATTCACCTTTGCTTCTTCTCAATAGAAAACTTAAAAGAAGAAACATGTGTTGACTGCTTAACCACCACACAACAAGATATTGTAATCAGCCCAAAATAAAAATTCAATCATTTTCTTATGTCTTTTTTTTCAATTTTCTCTAATTATTAATTAAGTGGGTGTTATTCTTTTCCAGCCAAAGTCCCGGCAATTTGTATTATATATATATATATATATAAAATATCTCCGATTTGAACATTTTACGGAAAATAAACTTAGAATTTTGCATTACAATGAACAAAATAAAACTGTTTCCTTAATACAGTTAAAAAAACCATTGTAGAATAAATGTGTTGTTATATTTTAATAATTAATATATATTAAAATATTCGGAAGAAAAAAAAAACAGTAATTAAAATAGCATATAACTCTAATATTATATAAATTTTATTTTTCTAATAAACCAACGAATATAAAATACTTAAAAGGAATCTCAGCTCTGCAAGGACAAGAGGCAGTTAATTTAAATATGGGTGCCGGGTTATAACGTTTTAATCATTCAAACTTCCTCTAGCTTATCATTTTTGCGTAAGTTTATGTCATTTTTTGTTATATGATTTTATTTGAATACATATATGTGTATATGTATATATATATATATATCGATTTCAGAAAAATAATGATTACAGAGTACGAAGAGAGTTTGAAAGTTTGGTGCAACATATGTGAGCAGGAAAGACCAAATCGTATGGATGAAAATAAAGTTATGAAATTGACAAATTCGTCCTCCAGTGGCAATTCCGTAAATATGACAGGCCAAGATTCATCCACGTGTCCGCCAAATATAATAATAAACCCTAACATTATAATTCCTATATATTTCTCTAATGTTTCTCTAACCAAGAGAAGAGAAGAGCAGAGAGAGAGAGAGAGAGAGAGAGAGAGAGAGAGAGAGAGAGAGAGAGAGAGAGAGAAGAAGGATGTGTAAAGGCGTGGAAGAAGAGAAAGAGATCAGAAGCGGAGGAGGAGAACGCCAAACGCTATGCCCGAAACAGAGCGCTGCGGTGCGCTGTGAACTCTGCGGCTGGAGAGCGTCTCTGTACTGCGACGCGGACGCTGCTTTTCTCTGCAAAAAATGCGATCGCTTGGTCCATCAGGCGAATTTCCTGGCGGGGAGACACGTCAGGCGCGTGCTCTGCACGTCCTGTCAGAAACTCACGCGCCGCTGCATTGTCGGCGAAGGTTTCTCGGTGGTTTTACCTCTGGGGGTAACGAGGCAGGGTGAAGAAGATAGCGATAATAATCACACCGCTAAGGTTCCTTTTGTATTCATCTGACTTCTTTCTTTCTTTCTTTCTTTTGTTGTTCATCTTCATAGGTCTTATGGGTTTTTTTTTTCTGGGAAATTTCTTTTCGAAATTAGAATTATGATTATTACCGAGAAAACCCAGAAGCGAATAGACGAAAATATCCGATCATAGAGGGTATGAAATCTCATGTTGGTTTTGGTAAATATGTTATAAACCCTAACCATAAGAGATGGTGTGCTGAAACTTCTTTCCCCATGTTTGATCATCTTCTAAATCCCTTGTCTCTGCTCCCAAAACAAGACAAGGTCATGTGAAATTCCCAAGCTTTTCAGATATGGAAGCTTTTCAGACATGTGTATAAAGGATATGATACATATCGGTTTGATGGTTTCAGAAGCTCCTCGTTCAAAAGGGTCACCATACTCCGCCTCCCTTCACAGATTCTTGCTTTCACCCGTTTTCTTCTTATCGTCTCTTTCAGAAATTGCATTCATCCAGACCAAGAAAGCCGCAGTCTTTCGCCTTCAGGGACTTGTAATGAAACTCTGTTATGCAGACATGGTTATCGAATCCATCGGTTGATTTCGTCGGATCTATTGTATTTGGCTACATATGGTGGAAAATTTGAATAGAAACTGGTTATTTCTTGGTGCAAGATCGATTACTGGTCTGGTCTGTAGGATTCAGAAGTGTAACAAAATGTTCTGAGGAAACCATAGAAGAGGGAGAAGGGATCCAACCCTCTAGCCTGTTCATCTTCACCATCCATAACAAGACATTACTATGGTCATCTTTGGTCCAGACATGAACACGAGGTAGTTCTGGTTCCACCCACCAACCTGAATCACCGCTAGTTGAACCAGAAGGTTCAAGAACTGAACCAAATCTTGAATAACCGGAATAAGGATTCAGAGGCTCCATGCTTTGAGAGATGAAGCGATGAATCCGAAACAAAGAACACGAAACAGAGCAAAAGCTCATGATTCAGAGGCCTTATTTCACCAGAACCCTAATTCACGCGTATATCATAGACAAATTACAGATCGAAAACGGGTTCCTCTTTTCTTTTCTTATTTTTCTGCACATAACGTAAGACCAATCTGTTGGGAATCCGATTCGATGACGAAACAATTCTGAGAAAATGAGTGGTAAAACGAAGGGAAGAAGATTCCTTTTACAGAGCAGGATGAAGAAAACAGAGTGGAGGAGGTGTTTCTGTGGGCCACTTGGGTTCACGCCACGTGTCACAAATAGGGTACGTTAATTGATACTGATTTTCTTGTGGTTGGAGTTTGCTGACATGGCGCCAGCGTAGAATCCAAAAAGAGTGAAACGACATAAATATGTACGAAATCATTACAACCACGTGTTTTGCGGACCAAGGACAATATTTTGTAATTTCAATAATCTGAACGAAATTTTTTGTCTTTTATGAATATGGCAAGCGAATTGTCTGCATCTCGGCAAATAATTACAATCGTTATGGATCGAATTAAATGACCAAAATTTTGGATCGTTCTAAATAAAATATGTTAAATCTCTCTCTCTTCGGACTATATAATCGTGTTATTTTTGTAGATAAAACGCACCGTTTTGTTTGTCTTGGAGGTCCCACGTTGTCATTGACACGTGTCTTTTTATCATTGGACAAATATCCGTCTATCTGTTCAATCAGAGAGTTTCCCTCCCTCCCTCTCGCTCTATGAAATTCCACAAATGGGCCGTCCTTTTTTTAGCCCTGGTTAATCCAAAAGCTGAAGCTAAGAATCTGATTATTCGTTATTTTGTTGAGACGAAGACGTGTTTGAATTATCTCGGAGGCGGGAAAGCTATGGCGGAATCTTCGTCGTTTTCGATGGACGAGTTTGTGAGGTTGATCAAGTGGCTTAGGGGGCTTACGTCCCCTTCAAGATGCCCAGTCTCTTGTCTACGTCTCTTCGCAGCCTGGTTCTTCCTCGATCTCACTCTATTTCTATTCAACTTCGTTGCTGCTTTACTTTTCCGCCGATGATTTCTCGGCATTTGATCTCTTCGGATTGTGATTTGCTATGGCGGGAATATCTGGTTTTGGGGTCCATAAATGCTGAAATTTATGCTTCAGGAATCTTTAATTGTCTGATTAGTTCGTTGATTAGTGGGATTGATGAAGCTTGGCGCTTGATCAATGGGTTTAGGTAGGGAAGTTGCAGCTTTTTGTTATACTAGAGATTGCAAATCAAGTTATTAGATCTTCAATTGAGTATCTACTCTATATCGCCGCTATTGCTTATGGAGGGTGTGGAGAAATAGTGTTATGAAGCTGAAAGTGAAGCTGAAACTTGACTGGTATAGCATCCACTAGCGACGTAGTTCACCTGAAACAAGGAAACCAGTTGGGGTTTTGGGTATTAACTATTAAGTCAGAGTAGAAGTACATAATTGATGTGTGATTGCTTCTTTTTCTCACTATTGTTGTCTTGGGATTAGGATTCACGATCAATTGGCATCATAGCCGGGCTTGTTGTTGCTATTTTTTTCATCTGGAGGGCAATAAGAACACCAGGGGTTCGCCAAAGAAAGCACCCGAGAGGAGGGTAATAATTGCTGGGAGTTCTTCTGCAGTTACTCAGACAAACATAGCACCTATCCCTCCTGGAGTTTCTTTGTCTTGGGAGGATACCTGATTACAAAATATGGTCGACGAGTTCTTTCAACCAGTAAAAGTGATATGTTATTTCTCTTAAAAATCTTCAGTTGCCTTACCCCACTAATTTGCTACAATATTGATTCATTAGGGCTGTTCGTGAACATTTTACCGCCTTTGTGCAGGCTGGCCGAGGGGCATATTAATATAGTCAGGCGGAAACTTGGTGAAGGAAGACAAGTGATTGATAGTTGGCTGTGATATTGTCATTGAATTCTGTTCTGATTAAGTTTAATGGTTTTTTTTAATATTTTTCAGTTGCAGCTTTACCCTTGAGCCACAATACATCCGCAATGATGTATCTTTCTTGGTGTTCTTAGAGTTATGGATAGTTGTGACTGTAGGATGAAATGCTTTTTTTTCTTTCTTGCTATAATTTCGCAAAGTCGGTTCTACGGGCTGACTTACTTAAGGAAGCAGTTGAGTCATTTTCTTTTGGTCAGACAAAAATCTTGGGTTATGCTTTATCCTCGTCTAATAGCAATATGCTTTTGTAGGTAACATGCCGCCTTCTTGGAGTGATTCTTGAGGAAACAACTCCTGAAGAACTCCAGGTAATACCTCTGAATTTCTCCATGTAGATGATGTGTGATACATATTGTACAGAAACAAGTAATAGTGAGATCCTCGACATTGGAAGTTCTCCTAGAGATAACAAAGTTTTGTGATCTTTATCTCGTGAAGTGAGTAAACACCTCTTCCTAATGGCTTACCCCGTTTGTATTTTGTGGGGCATTATGTACATTTTCCACTCTAGAATGGCATGACCATAAAGTCCATAACTTTGCTGTAGACTAAATGCCTTTATTCATAATGATTTTCTCTTGGAAACAAGAAATTTATATTGGGAAACATGTAAAAGTTTAGGAATTTGTATGAAAGGTACTGTGTCTCGCCATACATACCACCGTGGAAATGAAAAAGCTCTAGGCAGTTTCAGACATCAGTGGTATGCTGTTTTTCTTCGGTTATTATCAGGTATCTTGGTTAACCAATAGGCTTGGGCGATTAGGCGATGACATTGTGAGCAGTATGGATATATTCTTCTGATAGCAACCATCTTAACATTATTAGAGGTATAGTAAATGTACATTGGTCACACTTTTACGATTTAATGAACATGCAGATTTTCTCGTCAAGAGTTCTGAAACTCACATTTCGAGCCTTACTGTACACAGACCACGATTCTTCAGGCTTTAAAAATGCAGGCCTTTCGCATCGGGTGGTTTGGACAAAGACAAGGTAAGGTAGTACCTAAAAACCATTCTCAGAAGCATTTCAATAACCTTAACAAGCATATGACTAAACCGAGATTGTTCCATATTTATCTTCTGCACGCACAAATTCTGTTACGAGTGGGAGACCTGTCCCCTTTTTCTCTTCGAAACTTACAATAATCACTATGTTGTTTTACATGAAAGTGCAGGTTCTCTTTTTTGGCGCAGAAATTGGAAGAACATCCTCTGTCTGGGAACTAGAACCTGAATGAATGGCATATGGACACAAACCCGGAAATCATCACCCAATTATCTGTACATCTCCATCCTTTATATGCATTCATATCCTCTCAAACTTTCCCGAGTTTTTTTTCCCCCTGCTTGCTTTGCTGCGGAGGTTCATCAAGTATCATCCTCATGTTTCTACCCGTAAAACCCGAGTGGACAGCTCCTCCGAACGTTTTTCAGCTCGCCGTCCTTAGAGCATTTCTTCAGAAGCCTTTGATGAGAGAAGCCTGAGAAGTATAATACTTTGGAGAGATCATTAACTAGTTTGTGGTGTTGTTTTTTTGTTTAGTATCAGCAGAAAGTGTTGGGAGATAGAAATCTAATATGTTTATTGATGGTGGTGGTGATGAGTTCCCTCTCCTCTCATGCGTTCTTTCTTTTATTACAACAGAATTTCCTGAAATGGAAATTGTCACATAATGAAGAATATATTACATGTTTTTTTTACCAATTTATGTATTATTATAATTCAATATTTTCAGATAATTTATGCGTGTTTATATGATAAAGTTCATATTTCTGCTCTGTGTATTTTTATTACTTTCTTTTTTTTTGGAAAATGAAATAAAATATGGGATGAGAAAGAGGAACACCATAGCAAAGGTGATCCTCGAACCACCAGATTATGAGGTAGCGCCGTCATGTAAATAGCTCTTGTGGCCGAGATGGGGAAAGCGGAGAAAGCAGAGGAAGCATCGGAAAGTGGAAAAATCCTCGACACTCCAATGGATCCGATTTGCGAAATCAGCGAAAATTGCGCCGGAGAAGTCGCCGCTCTTCTTGCTCCTCTTCCCTCTCCCCAAGTGCAGGCAATCTCTCTCCCTCTCTCTTACTGTGACCGAGAAAATTTCGATGCCGAGGATCTTGTGTGTTTAGGGGTGTTTGATGCTTAGGTATCTTTCTCAAGTTGTTGTCTTTCTGTACTTCGGAAAACGGGCTATCAATGGAGTGTATGTATTATTAGTTAGAACGAAGAAACAGAGGTTTTACAGAGGTTTTATGGTTATGGCCTATGGGTTTTTCACTTTTGCCTTTTTGCGGGGTTATGTTATTCAGGAGTATTTCGATGAGCTTATATCCAGTAGACGATGCCGTGGGATTGAAGTAAAACAGAATGCCAACACCGGGAAAGGTCTTATTCTTCTTCCTTTGTCTTCTCCCTGTGATTATCATAAAGGTTGGCCTTGTGTGTAAACTGTCTTCTTGTTTATGCCTAAATAACCAACCAATGCTTCAGCTTTATACATTTATCCGATGATCAGAATTGAGACATGAAAGCTGCATCTATGAAATTGTGGATTTCTTTCTATTCGAGGTGTTCTGATCTGGGTGTCGTGGTTCCTGCTTACCCTTGTTTTGTGTTGTGATTATCTGATTTCTGTGGTCTGTAGGAGTCTATGCTGATACAGATTTCCTGGAAGAGGAACTCATTTTGAAGGATCAGATGCTTGTCGGCATCCAGCATTCGTCTAATAAGGTTTGTCATCCTTGTGCTTCTCTTACTTTAGATAGCCTTTGTTTGAGTAAACTTTCTCATTTCCCTATCCACCAATTTGCAGGTGGACTGTTTTGTTTGCAGCTTTTGTTTCCGATTCATTGGATCAATAGAACAACAAATTGGGCGGAAACTATATTTTAAGAATTTGGGCATTTCTGGTTGCTGTGATGGTGATTCATCGGATGGAGAAGACGGTGTTTGCATGAAATACAATGAGAATCTTGATAAGTCTGGTGCAAGCAGTTCCAAGGATAATTCTCTTCCACCAGAAGTCGTGAATTCACTGATGAACGGTGAAATGGCCTTACCTTACACCGATAAGTTTTCTTTGCCCTCTCCTCTTCCATGCCCCGGAGGATGTCATGAGGCTTTTTACTGTAGGTAATTTGACTTTTTTACTGTATTGTTTACATCCATAAAGTGCACAAACCTGATGTCTCTGATACCATTCAAATATGGGATATAGTGGATCATGTGCGGAGGCAGACTGGGAAACATCACATTCTTTACTTTGCACCGGCGAGAAGTCTGAGTCACTGTCTAGAGAGGCAATTGGGGAGTTTATAAAACATTCTAATGGTAGGGTTCAACTCTGTTTCTTCCTAATCGGCTTTTTATATTCTCACTTTGTTCTTGTTTTTTTTCTTATCATTGGTCATCGTTAATTTGCAGAGACAAACGATATTTTCCTCCTTGCTGCAAAGGTATATCTTATATGAGTAGCTACTTTCTCTTGCTTACATGAAACGGCTGAAGCTTTTGCATACAGTACTTACCACAATGGCCCAATATATGGAGTTTCTCATGAGCTCGACCATTCCTTCACTCTGAATCTGTCCTACGTCTATTTACATAGAAAATTTAATTGATTATGTGTAGGCAATTGCTTTTACCATTCTAAGATACAAGAAACTGAAAGCAGCCCATGTGAAAGAACGAGAAAAACGAAATATATCAAAGCAATCTCTACTCCTGGAGGCATGGAAGCCACTGTCCGTTGGATACAAGAGAAGGTATTATCATTTGATGTTGCTATTTTGATACTGTGGCCAGTAAACAAGTAGAATCATCTACTGTCACCTTGTGTTTTAGCTGAATATGATGCATCTATGCCCATGAAATATCTTCTAGATGGCACACCGTAACTCAAATCCACCATTGTAGGCTGATGCATTCTATCCTCTGCATTAAGAGAGATCTTGATATATATATTTATGTTAAACTCCTTTTTGTCTTTTGTTGGTAGGTGGTGGGAGTGTGTTGCCTTGCCAGATGATGTTGACCCATCTGATGAAGCAATGTTCAGAATGCAAATAAGGGATCTTGCACACACAGTAAGCGTTTTACTTTCACACACTCACACACTCAAATGTATATATGTGTATATATATATAACCTAACCTTATCAAGGCTTGGGTTTGCTTCCAAAGTTCCAATTGTATGGCATGTTTTGTCAATATCAAATGTATGTGTATATGTGTACACACTCGAATGTATATATGTGTGTATATATAACCTATCTTATCGAGGGTCAACTTTCGTTTTCTTTGGTTCCCCAGTCATTGGAGCTTCTCAAGTCTGCTATATTTGACAAGGAATGTGAAGCCCGTATCCTCCTCTTGCGCATTGGAAATCCTGCGCCCGTGTATTCTCTGTACCATGATCTTGCTTATATTATCTTTGAACATATTAGGGTCATTCCTTGACGTGAACAAGTCTTCTCTCTCGAAATCTTTGGGCATATCATTGGCATGTTTGAGCTGAATAACCTGTAAGCACCAACTTTTTTTTTTGTGTGTCTTGTTTCTAAGTGTATAATTTACTCGGAAGGTAAATCCCACATTTTGCAGAGATTTGGTGGTTGCATCACCGGTAGAGGACTACTTCTTGTACATTGATGATCTTTCCGGTACAAAGAAGGTGACACAGAATTTGTCTTTTGGCTCGCTTTTGTTTCTCGAATTTTCTTCCCTTTCCCGAGTCAGGAATTTCTGCTTTCTCAGTTTGTACTGGTTCTACTCTTCGTTTTTCTTTTTCCAGGAAGAAGCCGAGGAAATTACTCAACCATTTCTAGATGCTCTTGGTGACGACTATTCGGTTTGTTGTCAAGGTAGGATAACCAATCCCTGAGTAACTAGAGGAATCACTTCGTTTTCCTAGGTTTGGTTTTAATCGATGTTCTATCCCGGTTTAATATTTGACCGGTGTTTCTCTGTTTCACTGTAGGAACCGCGTTCTTCCCATTGCAAAGCTGTATGAACCATTCGTGTAGCCCTAATGCGAAAGCCTTCAAAAGAGAAGAGGTAAGTTTCGGAAATGTAAAGTGCAATGATTAACATGTGATTATGTATTCACGAGTCTCGTGTTATCATTAGCGATGGAAAAATCGATTATATTAAGTAGGGATGGGCAGTTCGGGTTTCTGTACGGCTTTGATTCGGTTATACTCAGGTTCGGGTTTCCTGGTTTTGGAGAAACTACATTAATCCGGTTTTGGATTCAGGTTTGGATTGGATTGAACTTTCCGGTCTTAAAAAAAGCATACCCTTTCGGGGTTTGGTTGATTCGATTTGGATACGGTTATATATCATTTCGTTTGGTACGAATTAAGGAGCAAGAACATGGGTTGTGGTTGGCAGGACAGGGATGGGCAAGCAGTTGTTATGGCGTTAAGACATATCGACAAGGGCGAAGAGGTATTTATATCATTCTCTTACCCCAAAAAAAAAACATTTTGTTTTTTTTTCTAATATTTTTTTCGGGCTTTTTATTTGGGAATAGATCACCATTTCGTACATAGACGAGGAGCTTCCGTACGAAGAGAGACAAGCATCACTTGCAGACTATGGTTTCATCTGCAAATGCACCAAATGCTTGGAGGAAAGCCGCCACTGCTAAGTGTTAATTGTCCGAACAAAGATGACATTGTTCAGTCTGTTAATTGCCTCGTCATTCAATTTAGTCCGATTAATAACTTAATCCCCAACTTATATAATTTTTTCAATATAACCCTTTAATGGATATGTAGTTTTCATACAAAAAATCACCTCACTAGAATATCGTCATCTTTTGAGAGGGTGTCGGAGTTGTTCGTAGTATTTAGATTTTGCACCTAAAAGGAGGGATGGTCATTTGGGGAATTGCATTCGATTCTGATTTCCTTATAATCTCGGTAAAATTTTATAAAGTTACGTTCAGTTCAATTCAGATCTGAATTCCATATAAAAAAAATATATAGTTTCAAAAATACCAAGATTTACAGTTCATCAAGGTTTAATTCCAACAGAAAGATTTTGAAAGACAGATTGTATAATGCAGAGTATTTAGATTCGGAAACAATAGATAGAAAGAGTATGAGGGAAAATCTGTCTTTCAAAATCTTTTAAGAGTATTTAGATTCGGAAACAATAGATAGAAAGAGTATGAGGGAAAATCTATCTTTCAAAATCTTTTATATAAATGTGTCGCACCCATTTCAACAATACACCCAAATTTTTTTCAATTCTATACCACTTTTGGACTTTAAAAGTCCGAAATAATCTTTCTTTTCTTTCATATTTTTTACGATTGTTATATAATTAATATACAACTAAAAAAACAGTGTCTACGACTGTATAACTAAAGATCCTGTAAACAATTAGATGTGTTTTTTGCCACCTCATTTATAATTAATTGTAACTATATCAATTGCAACTGTATTTAGAATCAATTACGAATTTGCAATTATAATTATAAGGATAATAAGGTCTTTTCAACAAAAAATTAATTGGTTATAACTTTTTGGGTGTATTCGAGAAATGAGTACGACAGTTTTGGTATATTTGAGTTTTGGTATATTTGAGTGATTTATCCTGAGTATGAACAACGTCTAAATTTTCAATAACTACTTTATTTAAAAAAACAAGACAAAATGTGATTTCAGAAGAAAAAAAAAGATTCACAGAAGAATTTAGAATTCTTGAGACAGTAATTTGGGGCTAAGAAACACAGACTGGAATTCTTCTTGTACGAATTCAACAAACTCAAGGTTGTTCATCATGGATTCAGACAACAAATCCACTTGCAAATCTTAATAATCAGTATCTTTCAACTCAATTCATAGCGCCTCTGATCCCAATTAGATCTCTTGATCCCTATTCGGTCGCATCGATTCATCACTTCCCTTCATTTCGATTTTACGTTAGGATTTCAAAACCCAGTAACAAAAACAAAACGAAAGTAAGATTCAGGAATCAAGGACAAGTAAATGTATGGGGCGTTTCCAGGATCAAATTGCACTGGAAAAAGCAAGATGATCAGGATATACCCCACGTGTTTAAAACTTCGATCTAGCGTCCAAGCCATTATGCCTGGAGGAACTTATTTCTCCTCCAGAATTGGTAAAGGACGCATCTCAACCTTCTCTCTATCTATAGCCTCTTAAATTCAGTCTTTGATTCATTCGCAGAAAACAAAACAACAACGTTGGAGATCTTGAATGCTCAGTGGAAGGAGAAGTCGTTAAATGAAAGAGAGCTCACGGCAAGACAATTCATGTCTTGTCCACTGCCCTTCACACACGTTCGTGTTCTTGCCTCATCATTGCACCACAAAATTCCCACATCGAAGATCAAAATACCAGGAAAAAAGAGCACTTTAATCGTCTTCCATGGAAGAAAAATCAATGAGTAATCAACTACAGCCTCAGTGTGTGTAACAAATTCAGATCATTGATTGAAAATCTCACTGAAATCCGCTAAGATAGTTATTTTATCATCACAGGCCAATACCCACGTTCCATATAACACAACACAGAAACTGGATCTGAAAAAAAGGGAATACTCAGACAGCCAAGGGTTTGATCTTCAACTTCTGGGGAAGAAACCCAGATCTGAAACTCTAGTCCACATTCCATTTGTTCATCACCGCATCCCCTTCTTCTCAGCCCCCAAATCTCAAAATCCACGAAAAACAAACACGAAACACAAAAACCAGTTTTGATTCCGGAAACCAGTTTTAAGAACGAAACGCGAGCCGTAAAAAGCTCTTCGGATTTCCAGAAAAAAACGCAGAGGACTAAGAGGAGAGATCTCGCAGCTCAGAAACGAAGGCAAACACAGAGAGATATAAATAACAGAGACGGAAGGAAGCTTGCAGCTACGCGAAATTAGGGTTTCTTCCTCGAGCGCCTCTCACTAATAAAGGCCCAAGAAAAGCCCGTATCTGAATTGTTTGGGCTTTTTTCTACATCTGTCCTTTTCATTTCTTCTTTTTTATTATTATTTTTTTTAATGATGGCCATTTCGAATTTGGTTTCCATTTTTGTTGATTTCAATTTCAGATAACTATAATCATTCGGTTTTTTTAATTCTATTTCGTTGAATTTTGATTTTAGTTTTTTTTTAAATGATAATTATTCCAACATCTGATGCTTTGGTTATGGGCCTAACTTCTCGGCCCATTAATCCCAACGAAGGTTTTTTTTTTTTTTCCAGAGGCTCTCCTCTCTGTGTCCGAAACTCAGATTGCTTGTTCGTTACCTAGCCTGCCCCTTCCGTCAAATCGTCTTCCCTCGTATCGATTTTTTCCCCATTCTGTTCTGTGTTTTTTTGTTTTATTCTTTTGATTATCCATATTGTTCGAAAATTTTCTTGTTCCGTCTGTTATCCTGAATCCAAGGAAAGAGATAAGTATATATTACAGTGGAAGCCCAGAGGAAGGGGGGAGAAGCGATAGATTTTCTCTTCTATTTTTGTTCATTACAACGTTGGTCTTCCTATCGTGTTCTGTTTCTCCAGATTCAGAGGTTGGGGTCTCTGTCCTTTTCTTTGATTATAGAATCCCCGTTTTTTTATTTCATCGCATCTGAAACTAATCAGATATTCGGAATTTAGGTTGATGATAGTGCAGAAGGAAGTGAAATTGCTGCTGCTCAATCTCCTAGTTGTTTTAGCTGTTGGAATTCTCTTAAAGTCTCTTCCCTTTAAGTTTAAAGTCGCATCATTTCTGCATTTCAGATTCAGGGATAGAGCTTGAGCTTGTCTCTTTCGTATCAGTTCCATTGACGATTCATCGTGTTGTTCAAGAAGCCAGTTACTCCATCCGTCCATTATGCGTTCCAAATCAAAGATTGATCTGAAAAAACTGAGGCCAATGATTCTGAAGAGGATCGAGGAACGGGCAAAGGAATACCCGATTAAACCCATGGTTCCTGTGGCCAAGGAGGTTCTTGAAGCTAGACGAGTTCTTATCCAAGGTGTCTCTATGCTTCTTAAAGCGTTTCCCGTCTTGTCCTGCAAGTAAGTCAATGCTCTCTTCCATGGAGGAGTTTAACACTGAAAAACATTGTTTTATGCATATGTTGGTTTCGAGAAATCGAACTGAATCTTGTCGAAAACGTGACTCTTTTTTTCAGATCGTGCCCTGAAGTATTCGTCGGCAACGAGGGTCACTTGATTGAAACATGTCGTTGTTACTTGCGGCGTGGAAACACCCGGCTTCATGAATGGGTTCAAGGATCCATAAATGATATACTGGTTCCGGTCGAAGCCTATCACCTACACAAAATGTCTCAAGGTATCATCAGACACCAACAGAGGTTTGATTATGACCGTGTTCCCGCCGTTTTGGAACTGTGTTGTCAAGCGGGCGCCATCCAGCACGAAGAAATTCTCGAACTTTCCAAAACTTATGAGGACCCGAATGCTCCTCTCCATGAGGATTTGTCTCGAGAAGATCTCACATATGTTGCAGCCGGGACTTTAAGAGCATGGGAGGCTTTAAGAGCCGGTGTCGGGAAACTATTGTTGGCATATCCCTCAAAAGTTTGCAAGAACTGCTCGGAGGTTCATGTCGGTCCGAGCGGCCATAAAGCTCGGCTCTGCGGTATTTTCAAATACGAGAATTGGCGAGGCGCACACTTCTGGCAAAAAGCCGGTGTAAATGACTTGGTACCCCGGAAACAGGTCTGGCACCGGAGGCCACATGACCCGAGGATTCTTCTGAACGGAGGTCGGGATTATTACGGTCATGCCCCTGCCATTGTTAGCCTTTGCAGCCATGCCGGTGCAGCGGTTCCTACTAAATATGCAACCGAGATGAAGCCTCATGGTTTATCTTTTCCTTCGCCTGTAGTTTAATTTAGCCGAGCGGTACAAGACCGGTTTTCTGATCGAATTCGGTATAAGATTTGTAACTTAACCGAATTCTGATGTTACACATCGGGGCCCAATGGGCTCAAATGCGTGCATTAGTTTTGTCTACATATGGGCTTAATGGGCCTTGAAAATAATCGATAAATTTAATGTTTTTTAAAATCTAGACGATTATTGTTTCTTTCTGATTATTGAATCACTAATCCTAGGTATATTTCATCAATTATTTTAATCTAAAGGGTTATTGCATCTTCTTTTTTTTCATCAATGGTTTGTTCAACATATGAAATCGTTGTCTTATAATAAAATCCAGCATATAGTCGGTCCACACCTCATTTCTATAATATTATTGAAACATAGCTGGTTTAAAAAGGCTTTGAAAAAACATATGCATATATAATATACATACGTACGGATGTGCACGAAACCAACTATCTTTATGGAGTCCAATCCATTTATTACATCAACTGTTACTCATGCAAATCAAGAATGTAGGCCAAGTGTGGCCGAGGACTTTAACACATCGAACCGGAACCGGAGAGTTCGGTCCTTCGAATCTGTTAACCAGTATACCAGCTCGGTTAACCTGATCGGTTTTCATTAGCAAACCCGGTACAATCAACCGGTCCATTTGCTCGCAATGACCGGAACAACTTCAAATTACTGCCGTTGAGAAGCCAGTGGTTCTTTACGGTCGCTCCATTGGTCCAACCTCTTCGTAGCTAAATCCACCTGAAAATCCAAACCATCATCAAGACTGTTAAGTGAAGAAGACGTAACATTTCCATTTACGTCATCAAGATCCAATCTTCGATCCACCATACACGAACATATATGAACATGTTCCTACTATCATAATGCTTTAATTATGTTTATATTACCAAAGTATTGAACAACGTGTATGTATAGAAAATAAGTAAGAATCGGGTTTAAATCATACAATATATTAGGATAATACCCTTATACTTCGGGGTTGATCAATTTGATTAATAACTGAATAATCAAACCGAATAACACATAACCGTAATCAAATCAAGTTCGACATAATAACTAAATTGTTATGATTTTTATAAAATCGAAAAAATAGAACACGATCCAAATAAAAAAATAACCAAAAAAATAATTTTTTACATAAATATTTTTATCAATAAAAACCTGATATTGAATTGAAATAAAACCGAACAAACCAAAATCAATATATAACAATTGGATAATTACAATTGTTTTAAAACCGAAATAATCGAATCTAACAAACAAGCCATAACTTCAAAATAGTAAGTCTATTTATATATTAGCATTAAGATTATTATTATTATTATTATTATTGTATATTTTTTTTAACTATTAATATTGTATATTATATATATATATATATACTTACCTCTTTGTTCCAGTCCGTACTAAACGTGACCCATGCAAGAATAATCGTTTGCATGACCGTACCACATATCATACCCGTCCATATCCCCTGCATGACAAAAGATTTAGATTACCATGTACGATCATGGCATGGCGATATTTGGGGTTTAGGGCAGAAGCAGAAATGAACAGAGAAATTAGGGTTTCTTGCCTTTGCACCGAATTTAAAGTAGAACCCAAAGAGAGCTCCAAGAGGTATCCCCACAATGTAATAACATCCCACGTTCACTTTCGCCACGAACGTTTGCCACCCGCACCCGACAGCCATACCTTCATAATCCATTTATTAATTCGCATTAAGATTTTATTATATCGTATCTACATACAACGGTTATTCAAGATTGAGAGAAATTTTAGAGATAGAGAGATTATATGGTTGTTAATTAGGGGTTATTCATATAAACCAATTCAAATAGTTGTAACCGAATCGAACCCGATATAAAAAACTGGATGGTTATGATATTTTCTTAACCGAAATCTGAACTCGGACTAAATCTAACCAAACATAATAATTGCCCGAAAAAACGTAAATATCTTTAGAAAGTAAACATTTTTAGTAACCGAACCTAAATCAAACCGACCAAGAACCCAATCAAATCTATCTTGAAACTCGACGGGGTATAGATTTTCTAAGACCGAAACGAACCTGGAATGAACACTTAAATAGTCACCCTCATAATGATAAATATATAAAATATATCCTATAACCATTTTCTATTTTTTTTTTTGGTTTGAACCATTTCTAAATTTTCAATGCTATATACTAAGAGACTATACATATACATACCGGAGAGGACAGGTTGGATGCCGTTGAGGACGAGGGTTAAGGCGAGGAGAGGGCAGAGATCCGAGACAGCGGCGGCCACGTCTTTTCCCTCCGTGAAGAGATAGCTCACGACGTCCCGTAACGCCAAGATAACGACGGCTAATATGACGGATATTATCAACGAGTAAACGTTAACGACGATGACGGAAAATGCGGCCGATCTAGGGTTTCCAGCTCCAAGTTCATTGCTCACCCTCACACTGAAAAAGAAACCAATTTTTTTTTATAACAATCTCAAGTCGTTTGATATATATCTGAATCCGACAGCTGAATATGTTGCGAGAGCTTCTGTCGCTGTTGGGACCGATTTAGCATCAATAAGTTTTTTCACGTTTAATTTGCAATTATGCCTATTTTGAAGGGTTAAAAATCAAATATTTTTTAAGCCCATTAGAGATGGATATTTTAGTTGGGTAATAAATAAGATATAGAAATCGAATATATTTATATAATAAGTATAAAAGAATCGAACAAAAAAAATAAAAGAAAAATCGTTAAAAATAAGTATTTTAAATGAAAGAGTGATTAAATAGAATATGAATCGAATAGATATAGTTACTGAAAACGTTTAACCTAAAAATTAAAATTTAGAACAAAATTTTAATCCGAAAAATTACAAATATTAATTCGGTTTGATGTTTGCTGATGAAAAGAAAAATACAAACCTTGCCGCTGCATTGAATCCAACAGCGATCATAAACACCCATCCGGAGATCGTCATACTGCAACCAACCAAAAAAAAAAGGACAAAAAATCTATATATAATATAACCGAAGCAATGATATTTATATTGTATTTCGACCAAAAAAAATTTTTAAAAAAAAAGAGTCAAATTCTAAATTTTGTATAATTCATCTATATGAATCTTGTGAATTTAAAGAGCATATATTACTTTACAAATATTCATTTTCAAATAATCACTAGAAAACACCTAAATTTAACTCCCCCGTGATTTCACTGCATCAAATAAAAATAATATATATATATATATATATATATATAGGTCTGGTGATTTGGTGAAAGTCACTTGGCTGGTTCTGGTGATTTTTATAGCATAAAAATCTGCACGATGAAGAGATGAACCACTTTGGAGAAAAAAAAACAAGACATGATTAAAATACAAAGATAGACTATTGTATTCAATTAAATTATATTAATTTAAATCAATAGCGACCAAAATAAATATTATAAATAAACTAGATGACGATAAATAAAAAAAACTAAAAATGTAAAGACATGCATACACTGACTTAATATTCTTGTCCTTATTGTTACGGAATCTTTCAAAAGGCAAATCCAATTTCGATTTGTACACTTTCTTGTGGTGAAACTGAAAGTTCACTCTCTTTTCAAGATATGATAATGATTATTTAATCCTTAGAAATCACTCGAACTCCTAGATATATTTTGAGTATACGAGTATAATATTTTAATTGAAATTAATGTTTGCATAATATATATATATATATATATATAACTGAACTAAAACGAATAATATATATATATAAAATAAAAGTAAACAAAGATACATGAAATATTATATTAATGAATATCGAAATCAAATAAAATTTAAATTAGACATATAAAATTAATAAATATAATTTATTCTAAAATAAAAATTATTCCAAAAAGACAACCTTTTAGGAAGCTTTTAAAATAATTTCAATTGGGTCGGCTTTTAAAAAGAGAACTGTCTTTTTTACAAATATGAAATTGAATGTTTTTTTTATAAGATATCAAATCAAATGTTAATCAATTCCAATTACTATACCACAAATAATAAAAACTCAATGAGATTTTCCAATAACTTACCAAATAGAGAGAGAGTCAAGAGCGAGCTGAGGATTCTCCAAGAGTCCAGCAAGAAGAACCAGGATCTGAAAATACCAAGTCTCGAGACAAAGCATAACCGCAGAGGCCGCGGATAGCTTGAAGAAGCTCCCAAGACCAGAGAAAGCCTGAACGGTGAAACCCTGCCACGTGTCCCGACAGCGTCGGCTGGTGACAATGTACGCGAACTGAGCCACGACCACGACCCACCAGGACAGGCTCAGCACCAGAGACGCACCCAGAAGGCCCATCCCGACCACGAAAACGGCCAAGTAACTCAAGAGGAGGTGCAGGAACAGCGTGGCAGTCGAGATGTAAGCGCTCGGGGCCACTATACTCTGAGCTTGGAGGAACTTCTGGATGGGGAAATTCAAGGCGTAGGCGAAGATCTGAGGGATTAAGCCGTAGACGAAAAGGGCAGCTGCAGAAGCGATCTCCGGCGATTCTCCTAGGAAGAGGAGTATTGGTTTTGAGAATACGTATATTACGGTGAGGATAACTCCTGTTAGGGTTAGCAATACGGTCGATCTTTGTAGGTATACTCCCAGCATTTCGAATTTTCCGGCTCCGTACGCTTGCCCGCATAGTGTTTCCACCGCGCTCCCCATCCCCAGCTGTCATGTTTCATAGATATTAGATTGGGAATTATATACTTTGCTTATAGAAATATGCGCAGTATATGTGGTGTGTAATAATAGTTTCAACTTTAAAGGTTTCAACTTTGAAGTAGTTCTTCTCCAGCAGATATATACAAACACCACAAAAAAGTGTATATATATATATAGAGAGAGAGAGATACTCTGAAGGATAATATATAGTAGTCTCTCTCTCTATATATATATACACACACACACAAACAGTACAAAAGATTGATCGATACCATGAGGCCATAAGCGAAGACTTGGATGCCTGTGTTTCCGAGGGAAGCGGCGGCGAGTTCGAGGTTTCCGAGGTGGCCGGAAAATATCTGAGTGGACATCGACATCAAGTAATTGATCATGTACACGATCACCGCCGGAGCCGCCAAGTGGAACAGCAGCTTCGACTCTATCCACGTCGCTCTCCCCACGCGCCTCATCGCCGGCGTCTCAGCGTCTGTCAGCACGCGCTCCAGCTCTCCCCCGCCGTACTCCGCCGCCGCCGCCACCGGCTGCAGAAGCGGTTGATAAACAGCGTCGTTTCGCGACGAGGCCATAGAGTCGAAGCTCTCTTCTGTTTTTTTTTTTTTTTTTTTTTTTTTTTTGTGGGGAAGGGTCGGTTTGTGATCGGAATGTAGTGAGAAATTTAAGGCAATCATCGAACCTTTTTCTTTTTTTTTTTGGTGGAATTATAGAGGCGTGTATTTGTCGTTTCTTGTCTGATTTTTATTCTCCGTATAATACAAACGACAATCTCTACCCTAACAGCGCTCATAAAAGAAATATATTTGAAAAAGTTACTTTCATATCTTATAATTACATAGAATGGAAAAAAAATAATTTTATTAAATAAAGTCAATTTACAGAGAAAATTTGAAACAATTTTCAAATGTATTCCAAATGATGTCTAAATGCGAGGCAAAAACATAAGGTGAAAGCAATCTTAGGTTATCTTTTATATAAAAAAAAGTGTATTTCAAATGAAAAATGACACACGATAACAGGTCTTTATACAGCAATGAAATAAAATAAACCAAGAATATTTTATCTAATGTACTCCATCCCTTTCAAAATATTTATAGTTTTAGGTTATTTTACATATTTCAAAATATTTGTCATTCTACATTTTCAAGATATTTTTTTACAATAGTTTCCAATTTTATCCTTATTAAATTCCAATAAATTATTAATGATAACATTGTTTTTATTATTAAATAAGAGTATATGTGACTTTTTCTATCTTTTTTAAAAAAATGTGAAATAACTTAAAACCACGATTATTTTGAAACGGATGGAGGAGAAGAGAGATAGAGAAATCCATGATGGCAAGGATTATTATGAGTTGATTGGACGACTCATTAAGCCTAGCATTAATGAATACATTATGACTAATTAAGACTAGTCCTCTTGTTAGGTGGGGATTTATAACTGCAATTTTTCTATTTTTCCTGCGCTACGAATATTGTGAAAAAATGACGAAAATAGATAAAATCGTTTCATGATTCAAATAATAATAATTCCTTTTAAAAAAAAATTAACGAACTTAAGAATATAAAAAGAACTTATTATAACCCAATAACAGTTTGGTGGATCCATGAATATCAAATGGAATATATATATATATATAGTTTATTATAAAGCCCATAATAGAAAAAATCTTAAAAGCCCGCATTATGTGTGGCCACTGACTTGATTCAGCAAGCCATTTGGGGTTGAATCGATAGTGGATCATGGCTTAGGCCCATTTGTTAGTACATAAAACTTAATAAAACCATAAAATATAAAAGATAACGCTATCTAAATTATATTTAATTGAACAAAAAATATAACAATATTATTTTTTTAGTAATTCGAATTTGAATAAAATTATAATCGAATAAAAATGATATAAGAGTTCAATAAATATATTTTGTAAATCGAACGAATTTGAATTAAAAAAAAAAAAAATCGGCTCTTTGAAATGCCTCTCCCCATATCAGCTAATAATGCATTGAGGGAATAAAACATGCAAATTGGAGAAAGAGATCTAGTTACAATTATATGATGTAATATATTTTGTATGACAAAATTATTCATTAACAGGCAGAGGAAATATATATAGTACTACATCATAAAATTTGGCTAGTATTTATAAATATCTATATCCTCCTTGGAACCAAAACAAGAGAGAGAGAGAGAGAGAGAGAGAGAGAGAGAGAGAGAGAGAGAGTTGAATAGATATATGCATGTGGACCGTCACAAGCAATAAGCTGCATGGAAATTATGGGAGTTAGACCTAACCCCATGTGGAAGATGTCCATGTGAATCGTCAGCTCTCTTCCGCGTTTCTACCTTTATTTTTTTTCCCTAGCGAGCAATAGTCCCACCTTAATTATAATGCATGCATATGTATGTGAATATATATATATATATATATATATATAAGATATATAAAGTAATATAGTTTATATCAAATAGGCAGTATAAATGCAAAATATAAAATGCTGTGACCCACCACGACACAAACTCCTACTTTTATATTCACAGTACAACTTCATTATCCTCAAAGATCATTTTGATTTTGATTTTTTGCATTTTAAAAAAATCAGACCACATTATATATTTCCAATGCTTCAGATTAATTTAGATAGCTTTTGGAGAAAAACATAAACCATTTCCTTATTAGGATTAAACCATCGATTTATATTCATTCAAGGGATATTAATTTAGAAATTTAGAAACGGTATTACCATGAAATAACTACTCATATACAAATTATGCTATATTTTATATATTTTTTTTTATAATTCGATCGGAAATTCACCAACGGGAGAAATCTATGTGAATATCTATCTCCAAATATAAATTTGAACTTAGGTTGAGGAGAAGGTTTACCCCAATCCTTTACCAGTCATGAAGCACCCAATCTTGGAGGTACGTTTAATATGTTTTTTATGAGCAAATTATGTATGTATATAGACATTCACATCCTAAATAGAAACCGAAGAGATCATTACACAAGATCTTGTCGGATTTTTTTGGTTTTTGCCTCTTCCAAACTCTTCGGATTTCTGGTGACCAGATAAGGAGAATTCTTTAGACTCTTCTAAGGTTTAGTTGAAATCCAACATGCATGGACGCACGTTGAAAGAGTAGCATAGAGAATCGTGGTATTAGGTGGATTTTTGCTTATTTATCATAATTTATTGAAAATAAGCGAAATGTTACATATATAATAATATTAGAATTTACATATATATATATACATATATGTTACTATTAATATGATTTTCAGCATCATTCCGACACCGTTGTATATAGTGTAGAAGGGGTTCGATTTGATATTAAAATCAAGAATAGGGACACAAAATATGATATAGTATTTTAATGCATAAAAGTTTGTAGATTTAGTTGATAAGTAACGTTAATGTTGTTGGATTTTAATTTGTGTGATAGGTTTGGTCCCCAAATATTGATAGTGGTTGTGATTTGTAAGCTATCAAGACCTACCTAACCACTCTGCCTTCATTTATTATATATATATATGATTAGTTATGATATTTAACGTTAATCACATTAATTAAGTCGCCATGATTAAACTGAACGGCTGCCACAGAGCCTAGAGTTAGTGCCACGGGATTTGCAATAAATTTGTTATGATGACGTAAGCATGACGCCCTATCTTTCGTAATACCCACATTTGCCCCCTCGATCTAGCTTAGTGGTTCTCTCTTCGTTCGACAAATATATAGTCTCCAAATATTTTCGGGGGTCTTATACTATTAATTTTTTTTATTAAAATTTTAAATTTTTATGATAAATGTTTTAAAATAAATTTGAAATTTGAAAAAAATTTAATTCAAATTGAAAATGATTTATTTTAATTTTAAAATTATTCTGAGATTCAACATAACAGAAAATAAATTAATAAAAAAATAATATGCTTCATTTTAAAAATAATAATATATTTAAATAGTATATAATATATTTTATATATTATTTTATTATTGAATTTTCATTTTGTTTCAGATTAGATAAGAATATACTTTTAAATTATTTGTTATTCCTATTATCAATAAGATAGAAAATAAATTAATGGAAGTAAATAGTTTAGAATCCAATGAAAAACACATATTTTTATTATAAATATAACTTAATAATATAAATTTCATATTTATGAAGAATTTTGATAATTTTTCTTTATTTGTTAATTAAAAATCAATATTTTTATAATAAAAATATATTAAAAATATGGGGGCACTTCAATTTGGAGGCCCTCTGGCTCTGCCAATGCATCGGTTAGACGGCCCTGTATATGTATGTGTGGTATGGTTACGTACTTAACAAAAATGGTTTATTGGCACACAATAATTAATATTGATACAAATGTTGCCTTAAGTAATTAATAATTTTAATTTTATTTATGTTTTCGACCGACATAAAGTACTGTGGCTCGAATTAAGGCTATTTTCTCCATGTACGTATCTTTAATGTTTGATTACGCATATATATATACATATATTTGATTTTTTTAATGATTTGGTAGGCATGCATTTATTATATCATATATATATATATAAACTTTTGTTTTGTTCCTTTATTCATTATATATAAAGAGACAAACGACGCTTAATAATGAATCCCGTGATTTAGGTCTCATCAATTAGTAGCATTTCATTGTTATTATATCAAATGGAACCCAAGTTCAAATACTTTGTCGTAAGTGGACTTTATATTATAATCCAATCACATATAGCCAAGTAGGACTATTTAAAATGTGGAAATAAATTTTAATATAAATATAGTTTTTTTTTATGTATTTATGCATAATTAAGGAAACCAAGAACATATATGTGTTAGAAACAATTAAAATCACGCTAATGATTTATTAGATAATCGAAACCCTATTTTGTGTTTCCTTGCTCCAAGCCAGCCTCCGACTACATCACAATGACTTCAATCATTAGGTTTCCATTATTAGAATATATATATATATATATATATATAATATTAAACGCAAGTGTGTGTGTATATATATACACGCTTATATATAAGATATAGAAAATGAAAATATAAGAAATCCGTGTACGACACAATATCTAAATTAATAATAACACCTACAGAAATTCAAACCTCACTTGCTGATTCCAATTGCAACGGCGCATAAGTCGCTTCTCTCATGTGACCTCTCTCTCTCTCTCTCTCTCTCTCTCTCTCTCTCTCTCTCCCTCTCTCTCTTGTATGCATTTATACGCACACACGCACACATTCGCATTCCTATATCTCTCTGAATAAAGTGCTGTGTAATTATATACCCTCTCCTCTCCCATGGGAAACTGTCTAAGGCACGAAGAGAAGAGCGAGGTGGGAAAGGATCTCATGGAAGGGGAAGAAGAAGCAAGAGTACTCCGGGAGGCAGTGAGGATCAAAGTAGTGGTGACAAGAGAGGAGCTCAGACAGATCTTGTCGGGACACAAGAAGAAAGGCAGCATGAGTTCTGTGGAACATTTGGCTCATGTCCTGAAACACAGAGCCATCATCTCAAGATCCGTTCATCGTCATCATCATCAACAGCAACTTGCCATTAATGGGAATTATTGGAGGCCTTCTTTAGAAAGTATTCCCGAGGATCATTTCTGAATAAACTCATCACTTCTTCTTCTTCTTCTTAGATTAGCAAGTGCTTTCTATTTTTGTTTGAGCACTTAGTAACATTATGTAACTTATTTTTCATATATATAAATACGAAAATAGAGTTTTCATATGTTTTACTTTGTCCACACACACATATATATAGATAGATGTTATCTGTTGGATTACAAAAAAAAATGTGAAATTTTATTCCATTGGGTGAAAAATAATATATATACATATAAACTTTTTTGGTAGTTGATATAATGCATGTTTTTTTTTTGTATATGGATCTGTATTTTCATTTGGAGATGTTATGTTTTTTGAATCTTTTCACCTTTGGATTATTGAGAATTTTAGCGTTTTCATATATAATTCTATTTTCTATATTTTCCTCTATTATTTCTAATTTTAATTTGATCACATAGATCCATGTGTTTTTTCTATTTTTCTTCTATTTGTGTTTTTATTGTTTTATTATCACTTTACCATTAATTGGCTTGTATTTCTAACGATATCTTAAGATTTTAAATCATAGCTATAATTTATTTTTTTAAATTACTAGAGAAATTCAGGTACTGAAGTTTTTATCCACTGTTAGATATATAATCTTAAAATAAATACGAAAGAAAAAATGACTGCAAAATAAATGCTACCTATATTTTATATTATTTTTTTAGGGAAAATCCAATATAAATAATTTTTAAAAAAAAATTTATGATAATAAATATATCAACTAAACAAATATACCAAATATTGACATATATCAAACAAATACCTTAACTTTTGAAACTGAAAATAGTTACATATATGATCTTAACTATATCATCGATAATTCTATATAAATTGTGTGAAATTGTTTCATATACTAATTTTAACTATTAACTTTATTCGAAAATAATTTTATATTCAGATTTTAATGACATCGTTGATTTATAAAAAAATATTTTTTATTTCAAGATTTGATGTATTTGTTTTGATATATTTTAATATTTAATATATTTATTTATCAAATTAAAAATTAGATGTATTTTTTTTCCAATTTTGGTAATAACAAATAGGCTTCAATATTTTCCGGCCCAAACGAGCATACACAAATGGGCTTATTATGTTGGGCCATTAGACCATATGTAATACTTTGGAATGGATTGGGCTTGACGTGTAAAAAACACTTTGTAACCCTAAAAAGAGAAAAATCACAAAAAAGGAAAAAACACAAACTCGAGTATGTTCTCTTATATCTAGGGGTGTCAATTTGGGCCCGAGGCCCGAAGTCCGGCCCGGCCCAGCCCGAAAAATAGCGGGCTTCGGGCCGGAATTTCTTGACCCGAAAAAAATCGGGCTTTCGGGCCGGGCTCAAATCGGGCTTCGGGCTCGAATCGGGCCGGCCCGAAAGCCCGGAAATTAAAAAAAAAAAAAGAAAAAAAATAACATTTACAAAGAAAATACGCGGGCCGGCCCGGCCCGGCCCGACCCGGCCCGGCCCGGCCCGACCCGGCCCGGCCCGACCCGACCCGAGTCCGGAATGCATAGGGCCGGGTTTCGGGCTTAAGTATATAGACCCGAAAAAAATCGGGCCGGCCCGAACCCGAGCCCGAAACTTCCGGATCGAGTGCGGGCTCGGACCGGGTCGGGCCGGCCCGGCCCGATTGACACCCCTACTTATATCCAACAAAAAAAAAATATGCATAAAACTATTTATACTCTACAATAATACTTCTATAAAGTAATAATATTATATAATATGCATATGCATAATGATTTCCAACTTTTTGATAAATGAAAAAACTAGATTTATATAAATGCATCTCTAAGTTACGAAACTTAAGGGGAAACAAATGATCCTCTTCTTGTGTGCTGGAAAATTGAGGACGTCATGATTTGATACATGGCATGGGTGGGTCCTCATACATGTGCATATTTACGAATTGACCATTCGCTTCACGAGGAACATACATATCTATGCCCGGTTATACGAGGGGCAAAATGGTCAATTAACGTAACCTGCCCCCTTCCGTCAAATCGTCTCCCTCGTATCGATTTTTTCCCCCTTCTCTTCTGTGTTTTTTTTTGGTGTTTTGTTCTTTTGATTATTCGTATTGTTCGAAAATTTTCACGTCTGTTATTCTGAATCCAAGGAAAGAGATAAGTATATATTACAGTGGAAGTCCACAGGAAGGGGGAGAAGCGATAGATTTTCTCGTCTATTTTTGTTCATTACAACGTTGATCTTCCTATCGTGTTCTGTTTCTTCAGATTTCTTTCTGGATTTCGTTGTTTTTTCCTCTCTCTCTCGCTCGCTTGCTCGCTGGTTGGATCCAATTCGGCGAAAAAAGGAGCCTTTTTCTTCTGGGTTTCTCAGCAGATCCATCTTTACGGAGCTCGCATCCCTAGGGTTCCTCTGAATTTGTGCCTGGTGCCCAGATCTTCATCTGTTCATCTTCGAAACGTAAGCTGTTATCTTTTGTTAACTCGCCTCGTATCTCTCTTAAATTGACTCGCCAGCTTTAGCTTGATCGTTCCCCATTAATGTTGCACTTCATTGGTCAGGTTGTGCTTTCAATTTAAATATGGGTTCATCTTCATGCAGGCCCGTTCGATGTATCGACATTAGGGTTTGATTCAGAAGTAAATTTCATTGTAAAGGCTTGCGCTGAGACGATAAAGTGTTTGAATTTGTCGTTTTCGAACTAATTTAGCTGATACGGTTTGATTCTTGTAGAAGGTAGAGAAGGGTAGGGCAAGAGCTAGGGTTTCTGTAAATATGATAAAGCAGATATTTGGGAAATTGCCCAGAAAACCTTCGAAATCATTGCCCAGTGATTCGAATGGAGAGGGAGGGATTAGTTCTTTAAACTCATATTACAGTCCCAGTTCGGGCAATGGGACCCTTTCTCCTCGCTCTTTGAACTCCAATAGGACCATTCAAGGGAAGAAGCCGTTAGGTGATTCCCTTCAAGCTGATCCATTTCCACCTTCTGTGGTATATGAGGCTTTGCCCGGTTTTCGTGACGTTCCAGTTTCAGAGAAGCCGAATCTCTTCATCAGGAAACTGCATATGTGTTGTGTTGTGTTTGATTTTAGTGACCCATCAAAGAACCTTAAAGAGAAAGAAATAAAGCGGCAGACGCTGCTTGAGCTAGTCGACTATATTGCATCGGTTCCAGTGAAGTTCAATGAAATGGCAATGCAGGAGATCACAAAGATGGTGGGGTTGAATCTGTTTCGGTCATTTCCTTCCCGAAATCACGAAAGCAAGATTTTAGAAATGTTTGATATGGACGAGGATGAACCCACATTGGAGCCAGCTTGGCCTCATCTACAAGTTGTCTATGAGCTTCTGCTAAGATTCGTGGCTTCTCCCATGACTGATGCGAAGCTTGCAAAGAGATATATCGATCATTCATTTGTCTTGAGGCTGTTGGATCTATTTGATTCTGAAGACCAAAGAGAGAGGGAATATCTGAAGACCATTCTGCACCGGATATACGGGAAGTTCATGGTGCATCGGCCCTTCATCAGGAAGGCCATAAACAACATCTTCTACCGATTCATTTTCGAGACTGAAAAACATAATGGCATTGCTGAGTTGCTTGAGATTCTTGGAAGCATAATTAATGGGTTCGCTTTGCCGTTGAAGGAAGAGCACAAGCTTTTCCTTGTGAGGGCCTTGATTCCTCTCCACAAGCCTAAGTGTGCATCGGTCTACCACCAACAGCTTTCTTATTGCATCGTTCAGTTTGTAGAGAAGGACTTTAAGCTTGCTGATACCGTTATTAGAGGCCTTCTGAAGTATTGGCCCGTAACTAACAGTTCAAAGGAAGTGATGTTCATAGGGGAGTTGGAAGAAGTCTTGGAAGCAACTCAAGCAGCCGAGTTTCAGCGCTGTATGGTGCCTTTATTCCATCAAATTGCTCGTTGCCTCAACAGTTCACATTTTCAGGTGCGGCTCTTGGTTTTTGTTTGCCGAAAACATTGATACGATAACTACTAGAAGTTATGTTCTTTGTTTTCTTTGTACATTTAGATGTTTCCTTTCAGTCGTTTAGTCGGTGATATAGAATAGGACTTGAAAAAGGATTCTGATTGATGGGTAACCATAACTAGCTGTCCTGTCGCAGAATCTATTTGATGTTTCGAGAGATGGGTATGTTTCTCCCTGTTTTGTTTGAGCACGAGTTCTGATATACAATGTTACGGCTGTCAGGTAGCTGAACGGGCTTTGTTTCTGTGGAACAATGACCACATTAGAAACCTAATCACCCATAACCATAAAACTATAATGCCCATAATCTTCCCTGCTCTGGAGAGAAACACAAGGGGGCGGGGACATTGGAACCAAGCTGTTCAGAGTCTGACACTGAACGTGAGGAAGGTATTCTCTGACACGGACCTAGATCTATTCGATGAGTGCTTGGCCAAATTCCAAGAAGACGAAGCAAGAGAGAAGGAGCTTCAGATGAAACGAGACATGACATGGCAGCGCTTGGAAGAGTTAGCAGCGTCCAGGGCTGTAAGAAGCAGCGAGGCGGTACTGCTCGTCCCAAGTTTTACGTCTTCAATGGCCCTCACCAGCGGGAGCCCAAGGGGGGCATCTGGTAGGTAACAAAAGGAAAAAAAGGCCGGGGCTTTCTACTCTATTCATCACCTATATACACATGAAATGACGCAAAAACAGACCGGGGTTCGATCCATACATGAGATGGGTCAGGAAGCTAGAAGATTTTCAAGTGGTGGTTGGACAGAGGAAAGGTGAGTATAGATGTGAGAACACTCGACAGTTTACGGTTCTGGGTTTAGGGTTTGGGTTTTGGGGTATATTCGTTAGTTATTTGGTTCATCCTTCTTCTCTCCGACTGCGTCTGCAGTTGTCGGGGGAGTTGGAGAACACATGTACTGAAAGAGGATATCGTCTATAGAGACGGGTAATGGTAATTTTATTGTACAATTCAACTATGAAATCATCTTTCTTCCCCTCCCCTTTTGCCCAATTCAACTATTGAAACATTATGTATATTTTATGACATTATTTCTGATAGTATATAGTTTGTATATTCACAATTTAATATAAAAATCTAAGCGTCATTACGAATAATTCTTAAAATACTCTAGTCGATCATCATCGTGAGACTATAGTTAAATCAAAACTAATACGAAACGTGTTGGATAGTCTCATTTGGGATGAAGGAATGATTCACTTGTACGATCGACATGGATATAAATCATGATTAGATTTTGATATAATTGTCTTATATATGATTTTTTTTTACCAAAAAAAATCATTATTACTGCATTTCAAAAATAATGTTTTTTTTAATAAAATTTGGATATATTTATAAAAAAAAAGGGTTGGTACATAGTCCAAAGTCCACGATCCACAAATCAAGCTAATGCTAAAGAATCTTTACAAGAGAATACATACATAGCCAATCAGATCATATAACCATGTTTCTCGGTTAAGAGATAGGGAGTACCACTTCTGAAGGAGGGTGTTGCTTTCGCAGTCGTGTTCCTGTTCAAGCGATAATAGGGTGCTTCAGACAGAGTTGTTCAATCGTCTTCGGAACATTTGGGTATTTGCTGCAGTGTTTTGAAAAATTATGGCATTGCGTTCCATCCAAATTTCATATGGAGAGTATTGGATTAGTACCTTTAGGAGCGTTGTTCGCCATGCGTTTTCAGTCTCCATGATACGCCTCAGCCAAGTCTGGCGAGCCGAGAGTTCCACCGGAGAGTTAGGTTAGATTTTCCCCGCAAGAGGTAATCATACTTCCGAACTATAGGAACAGTCGTAGAATAGGTGATTGTGCGATTCCTCTCCCTGATTACATAGCACACAAATGTTAACCTATATCTTATTCTATCTCAGCAATCTATCCTTCGTAGGCAACCTTCTTTGGATTGTCACCCATTGTATTCAAAAATAATATTTTTTTTTTTATAATATGTGATTTGTAAAGGGTGGACTTGAGTGAGTGAGACACTCATGCATTAAAAAATAATGTTGTTTTGACATAGTCAAACATTGCGTATAAATTAACATCTATAAAACTGTTATTGGATACGTTGTAATGTGCATGATCGACAAAATGTGATAAAAGACGGAAATTATCCTTCTCCGAACATACATTCATTTGTGTGTATATATATACACGTATATTTACATATATATATATATATATATGTATACACACATGTACATATATGGTGGTGCATCGGCCACGTGGCGACATGCGGACGGTTGGATTGCGTGAGCCCCACAAAATTTTCCGACAAGCCACATGAAAATCTAATCCAACTCAATTATTTTGGAGGCTTTCCCCATTTCCTGTTCCCGTCTCTGTCCTCACTGTCTCCAATTCTTTAAATAAAAAGCAATAAATTAAATGTACAATATACTCCGAAAAAAAGAACTAAAAATTATAACATAAATTCCATCGATTTATTTTTCAGACTGAATAATGTGTTTGGTATTTTTATGGTTTTTTTGTTATTTAAAAAATGTAACATACTTATTTAATTCATTTTTACTTTTTTAAAGTTAAACTTACACATTTAACAAAAAAAAAGTTAAACTTACACAATTGTACTCTTATTTTCAAAGGGAAATTTAGAATTTATTTTAAAAATTATATTAAACTCTTATAAATTATAATAACCGAATCTAACAAATAAAAAATGAACTGTAAATTGCATTCAGTCCGAAACGTAGAATATACAATATGTAAATTAATATTTTTCTCAAGATATGTATACAATTTTGGTATATATATATATATTGATGCAATATCCATGAAATGAAATTTCACATGATTTTCATAAGGGGTCATGGATTAACAGTGCAAAGACCCGATGATGAAAGTGATGTTTGGAAAAGTTAGAAATGTTTCTCTTCATCAAAAAAACATTTAATAAAAACCGATTTTTTTTTTTAAATAACCAAATCAAAATCAAGTTTAAACCCAAAATATCTATAAAAATAAATATCCATAAGAAACTGGAAATTTGCAATCCATATATAAAATCAGTAGCGGATGCGTATACTCGTGTGGATAATTGTATTTCATGCTGTCACTTTGAGAGAAAATTTATTGATTTGATTGTTTAATAATTAAGCAAATAAGATATAAATCCAAGAGACTAGTACGGACAAACAATATATGAAACCAATCATTGAACATATCACAAAAAATAGCTCCCTCCAAAAAGCTTTATTTTGTAATTTTAATTTTAATTTTAATTTTTCATCATCCAAGAAAAAAAAATTTATAAAAAAAAATTCCGAGCCCATTCTCTATTTATATTCAGAAACCCACAACGTTATCTTCACAGACATGAACACAACAATAATGCATCACTACGTTGTCGTTTTAGCACTCCTCCTCCTCACTCCGGCGGTCACTTCCTGCCCGGAGTCCGACCGGAGGGCGCTCCTCGCTTTCCGGGCAGCCCTCCACGAGCCCTACCTCGGGATATTTGATACGTGGCAAGGCCAAAACTGTTGCCGGAATTGGTACGGAATAAGCTGTGACGCCATCACCCACCGCGTCGCCGACATCAACCTCCGTGGAGAATCTGAGGATCCCATTTTCGAGAAGGCTCACCGTACCGGATTCATGACCGGAAAAATTTCGCCGGCAATATGTGACCTGACTCGCCTCTCAGCCATCACAATCGCAGATTGGAAAGGTATATTACGTACTAATAGTAATATATGGTCAAATACAGTATATTATTAAATTCTTGGTCCGAAAAATAAATATTTTTTATTGACATTACACTTCACTGGAAAAAAAGGTATCTCCGGCGAAATCCCGCGTTGCATCACTCGCCTGCCGTACCTCCGTACTCTGGACCTAATCGGGAACAGAATCTCCGGCGGGATTCCGTACGATATAGGACGGCTAAACCGGTTAGCCGTACTAAACATAGCCGATAACCGGCTCTCCGGTCGGATCCCGCGGTCCTTAACCAATCTGTCAACACTCATGCACTTGGATTTACGCAACAACAATATCTCCGGCATGATCCCTCCCGATTTCGGCCGGCTCCGGATGCTAAGCCGGGCCTTGCTAAGTGGTAACCGGATCACCGGTCGGATTCCACGTTCTGTGGCAAGCATTTACCGGTTAGCGGATCTTGATTTATCGGCGAACAGGCTCTACGGCCGGATTCCGGAGTCACTCGGCCGCATGGCGGTTTTGGCGACGTTGAATCTCGACGGAAACAGAATCTCCGGCGAGATTCCGGCCGCTTTGCTGGCGTCATCGGTGATGAATCTGAATCTCAGCAAGAACGTGCTGCAGGGGAGGATCCCCAACGCATTCGGACCAAGGTCGTATTTCACGGTGATCGATCTATCGCACAATAATCTCCGCGGACCAATCCCGGGATCGATCTCTACGGCGTCGTTTATTGGGCATTTGGATCTTAGCCATAACCATCTCTGCGGCAAGATTCCGGTGGGTTCTCCGTTCGATCATCTTGAAGCGACGTCGTTTGAGTTCAATGATTGTCTCTGTGGGAAACCACTTGGAGCTTGCTAAGAAAGAATAAAAGGAGCTTGATTTTAAATTATGTAATAGTATAGTGTTTTATGTAACATAATGTTAATGATTGTATTTAGTATTTTACATATGCAGGCATTTTATGACTGTTTTATAATTTTTATTTGCATGAATCGGTTTTCCACACACACACACATATATATATATATATATATATATATATTAAATAGCACATAATAGTGTTTTAAAATAATTTATACATTAACTGTTTGTTCAAACCGTAGGTAATATATATATTTTTCGTTATCGAATTAATTTTCTATTTTTGCCAGCACATTAACAATTGTCAAATTGAGATTGGGTTTATATATATATATATAATATACACACACTATCACGTGTGCAAATTTAAAGCTCATTCAATGCCTAGATTATGTTGAATGCCTCAAATACACTTTTTTCATCATCCTTTATATAATTTATAATATATTATAATTTTTTAAAAATATATATAATTTATTAATGGATACACTTATTAAATGGGAATTAACGATTTTATAAGCTGAATATATCTATGTCACATATACGTATATAAACAACACTTTACCCCCCCCCCCCAAAAAAAAAAAACACCAAAAAACCACAAGGAAAGAGCAAATATTTTTTTTTTTGGAAAAGTGAAAAAGTTATCGATCATTTACACGTATATAAATATTTTTTTTTGGAAAACTGGGGATATCTATTTTAAATTTAATATTTCATAATAAACAATAAATGTTTTTTTTAAATTTTACACCTATCACTATTTTGGCGGCCTCCTGCTACTTTGTCCATGGCTGCTGCAACTCTGCAGCCATGGTGGCTGGCTGCTGCAAAATAGAGTTAATTTATTACATGTTAGGTGTTCTTTTGCAAATTATATATTCTCCATTGACAAATGGGAAATGTGTCAGCTCCTGCCTGCAAATATATCTTTACCACCAAAGCGCCATACTTGACCGAGAACGCGCTCTGAATCCGCACAGCCATGGAGAAACCGTACGGATACGCGAGCGTGAGCAGCAGCAGCGGCGTTCCGTTCGTCGGCGATAAGGACGCTGATCCAGAGATGGGTGGCGGAGAGGCGACGCTTTACCCTGGCCTCAGCTACAGCGAGAATCAGCTCCGGTGGGGCTTCATCCGCAAGGTCTACGGTATCCTCTCGGCTCAGCTTCTCCTCACCACCGTCATCTCCGCCGCCGTCGTCCTCAATCCTCCCCTCACCGATCTCCTAACCGGCTCCTACGGCTTCCTCCTCCTCCTCTGCATCGTTCCCATCGTCCGTACGTGATTTCTCTTCTTTTCTGTTAGGGTTTTGATCGGTTGGAAATAAGTTTGCAGTTTCAGTTTGTTGTTTCAAGAAGTCATTGACCTTCTGAACTTTGGTGGTTCTGAATTTAGGGTTTGATATTTAGGATTTGCAGGATCTGTTCACTTTTTCTGCTCCATGTGAATTTAGGGTTGATATTGCTGCTGCAATTTGATTGAATATCTTTTGCTTTGTTTATGCATTTGATGGCATGCAATTTCCATATGATCTTCCTAATCTCCTCCTCCTTGATGTTGCAAGTGGATGTTTCATATTGCAGATTTTGATTGTCAATTCATTCATATGTTTATTACTTCTTAATGTGATTTAACTTCTGGAAGATGTTGGTAAGAATTCATAGTCTCTCTGCCATTTTCAACTCTTTGATCTAATCCTTGCAGTAATCTGGCCACTGTACATCTTCCACCAGACGCATCCCGTGAACCTTATCTTCCTCGGTCTCTTCACTGTTTCGCTGAGCTTCTGCGTCGGAGTATGCTGTGCGAACACAGATGGTTAGTGTCTTTTCCCCTTCACTAATGTCTCTGTGACTCCCTGCCATGAACTTTGTTAACTTGAAAGGCCATACCCTTGAAACATATACTTATGTTACCTCTGAGAAAGCCATAACATAAGAATGTCAGGAAGAATTGTGCTTGAAGCACTGATTTTGACACTGGCCGTGGTCGCCTCCCTGACCGCGTACACATTCTGGGCGGCTAAGAAGGGGAAAGATTTCAGCTTTCTCGGACCCTTTCTGTATACAAGCCTCGTCATTCTGATCGTAGTCGGGTTTATCCAGGTCTGTCTCGGAATCCCTCCTCGTCATTAAAGCAAGCTCCTTTCACCGTACCCGCCTGAAGAAATCTCCCGTGTTCCCTAATTTTCGTGTTTTTTTTTCTCCTCTTTTTGCAGCTGTTCTTCCCACTCGGCCCAACCTATGTCGCCATATACGGCGGAATCAGCGCTCTGGTCTTCTGCGGCTACATAGTTTACGATACCGATAACCTCATCAAGCGCTTCACATACGACCAGTACATTCTGGCATCGGCCGCTCTCTATCTGGACATCATCAACCTCTTCCTCTCCATTTTGCGGGTTCTGCGGGTTCTGAGACAGGCTGACAACTGAAAGCACACTGCCCTCTGTTTGGTTACTATCAGAGTCGTAACTGGAAAACCGACTTCAGCCCGAGTCATTTGTTGTGAATACAAATAGTAATCCTTTCTTGATTTCATGTTTGAATGTTTTCACGGTTTGCAGGTTACAGAGGTGAAATGTATTGGAGAATAGTCGACACTTATGTCTTTTTTTTTTGGTTTCTTGAGTATTCTTGCGCATTTGCAATGTAAAAACGTGCTATATATGGTATATGATTTCACATAAACAACAAAGTTTTGGACAAGACAGACAGGTATTTCATTTTGATTTTCCAATATATATATATATATATATATATATATATATATATATTTTATAAAAAACA